TTATCCCTCTCTCTCTCTTTCTCCTTCTCTCTCTCATTCTCCTTCTTTCTCTCGCTCTCTCTCTATTTCATTCTGGCGATTCATATCAATTCTCTGTTCTTCTCTCTCTCTCTCTCTCTCTCACGCAGGGCAAGGAGGTACATCTCTTCAACTCCTCCTCCATCTCCTCCCCCGTGATGCTAATTGGCTCCGACACCCTCGGACCGGTCGACTTCCGGGTCACCATGTACGTGAACGGAGATGAGGGCAGGAACTACATGGGCTTGGTCTTTGGCTACCAGAGCAATAGGAAATTCTACGTAGCAATGTGGAAACACATCAACCTCAATAAGGAAACGCAGTATGCGGGTATCAAGGGATTGCAGATCAAGGCAAGTCTTTCCACACTTTCATTTCAGAGAGATCCAATTAGGGTACAGTGATTTAGTTTGCTTTGCCTCTCAGGCACAAGTGACGCCAAATACTTAATAATTATCATAACAATTATAATAGTGATTTTGAATACATGTCACCTCAATTTGTTGTAAAGACAGAGTGAATAACAAATTTCAGTTGAGTAAATAAATTAGGAATTTTGTTTTCTTCTTGGAAGAACAGAAGGTTCATTCAACAACGGGACCTGGTACGACTCTAGCCAATGCTCTGTGGCATTCTTATACAACATCCAACGAAGTGGAGTTGATGTGGCACGACCCGTTAATGCAGGGATGGCAACATAGGACGGCTTACCTATGGAGACTCACTTATAGACCATCTATTGGCATTATTAGGTAAGATGATGATGATGATGATGATGATGATGATGATGATGATGATGATAATGATGATGAAGATGATGGTGATGAAGATGTTGATGATGATGGTGATGAAGATGATTATGGTGATGATGATGATGATGATTATGAGGATGCAGTTGATGATGATAATGTTGATAACGATGTTATTGCTACTGCTTATGATAAATAATGATGATTTGATTATAATTATAATGATTATGATGGTGATGATGATGATGATGGTATGGAAAATGATGATGATGAGGATGCAGATGATGAGGATGATGGTGATAATGACGATGTTATTGCTACTGCTGATGATGATGATGTTAGTTTGATTAGGATGATGACGATAATGATTGTGATGTTGATGATGATGACGATCGTAAGAATGTTTACAATGGATATGATAGTGAGCAAGATCTGAAACTTATTCATTTATTATAGCAATATATATTATTCTGTTGTCAACAGCATATTAATTGATTATGATTCATAAATAGAAAAGTTTGATAGTTTGATGAGTAAATAAATAACACGCATGATTTCAAATCCATAATCTTTAAGGCAAGATAGGGTCCCACATGCTTTTGAAATCTAGTTACAGGCATCATCATATTTTCTTTCCCTGTTTGTGTTTCAGGGTCACCATCAAGTCTGGCGACGTGACCTTGACAGATACTGGTGACCTCTATGACACAACCTTCCTAGGAGGTCGTCTTGGAGTCTTTGTGTACGATCAGCCCGATGTCATCTTCTCCCATATGAAGTATGATTGTGCAGATAGGTAGGTATTAAAACTCTATTAGTTCTCCATCGTTTTGTACTAAATTGCATGGGTGGCAAACAAGTTACCATGCAAAAAGATGAAAAAAGCAAACAAAGTGTTATAATTCTGATATTTGCAGCTCAATTATATAAATGTATTTTCTGACTTCCGTTTCTATATCTGTTTGCACAAGAGGAAGACATATACAAAGCATTAAAGCCCCACTGTCCTACTTGTAGCTACTTGCTCCCTAGAAAACTTCCCCAATCGGTGCCTGTTGGTCCCCCATGATCCTCTTTTCTTATGTTAGTTGAGAGCTGAGTTAATGAGATAGCCACCTGTCAGTGACCTTGCTGTGTGGTCTAATCCCCTCTGGCTCAGTAGTATTGACGGTCTTTAAGTTAAATGTGTATTGTGTATCTAGATAATAATTATTTACATTTTTATAGCGCTTGATACTCTGCATATCTGAATTGTTATGTGGTTATTAGATTTGTTTGCTTTTTTTCTGCATGAAATATAATGTAATACAAATCTTATAATTTTTTCTTTATCAGGTTGAATCAAGCTCTTCAGTTTGATGGCTCCGATGATTACGTCATACTGCCTGGTATACAAACCCTAGACATCGATGAGAGTTTTACATTGGAAGCCTGGTGCTACCTGGAGGCCGGCTACCCAAGCACCAAGCTACCGGTGTTTGGTGCAGCAGATAACAGTGTGTATCTTATCATTGAAGATGGGTAGGTTACTAGATTGCTGGTCTTGTGAATGAACTCATAGTTTAGTTTAGATGTTTTTACTTGTTTGTGTGTATTGAAGAAGATCTTTAAGGCAGGATCGACACCCCAGCACAAAGCTACCGGTGTTTGGTGCATCAGATAACAGTGTGTATCTTATCATAGAAGATGGGTAAGTTACTACATTGCTGGTCTAGTGAATGAAATCATAGTTTAAAGATGAAGTTGAGTTCTGGTCATGCGATTGCATTGTGAAACAAACAGTGTAGAATCGACCAGAAAAGGTTGCTCATCTAGCATATAAGAATTTGTGTGTATTGCAAGGTTCTGGAATCATCAAAATGATAAGAAATTTGGCCAAGTGATAGAATAGAATACCATTCCTCATAATCTAAACATTTATTTTGTCTTATTTTAGCCAGAAATCTGTGTTAATTAATATATGGTATATGAAACACCCTTGTGGATACAAACAGACAATTTGATTTTCCTCTTTGTTTTAATATTTTAGCTGTTCTTATGTGATTGCAACAAGTGGTCAACAATGCAGATCATCAAAGATCTTGGATTGATATTGTTCCTAGCAGGATGAAACAGTTGTTATTGACTAGATTGTTTTGTTCGATTGTTTTCTTTGATTGCTTGATATCATTTCAGCTATGTCTATGGGAAGTATGACAGCTTCTTTGTGAATGCCACAAGCAGTCCGCTGGTAGAAGATGCCTGGAACCATGTAGCTCTCAGACTAGATGCGCAAGGTATGTTCATGTTAACCAGTAGCTGTTCTATAGAGGGGGGCCTGGGCTCAAGCCCCCCTTTCCACCAATTTTCTTTATTATGAATTAATACAAGCAAGGCACATTGATGCAAGAACACATTATTCCCACTCATTTTTGGATTTCCTTGGTATTATTGTAAAGATATGTGATTAACATTTACATGGAGGATTGACTACAGATTATTAGATGCTGCATTCACAGTTCCCTGGAAGTGGATGGAATAAGAGGGAAAGGAAGACCGAAAATTTCATGGAAAGATATGAAAAAAGAAAACATTGAGGATAGTCTAAATGAAGAGGATGCTTGAGACCTGAGACCCGTTTCACAAAACCTTTTTTCTATAATAAATGACAAAAATCGGTGACAAATCTGCTGATAACCAATCAGTAGAAGCAAGGATTTCAGTAGCTTATAACAAAAACTGTCATTTGTCACTAATGACAAGTTTTGTGAAATGCCCCCCAGAAGAAGTGGAAGGAGGGAGTGTCATCATGGGGCGAAAGTCAGTAACCCCTCGAAAGAGAGAAAATGCTGACTTCAATAAATGGTGACGATGATAGATTATTACATCTAGATCATTGTAAATAAAGTGAATAGTAAGCCTACTTTAAGATTTAGAAGCAGGGGATGAATTTATGTCCAAAGATATGTCCTTTGGCAAGACATTGATTTATATTTGCCACTCTCCACCCATGTGTTAAATGGGTACCCGGTAGGATGCGAAAGCTAATGTGCTTAGATTAGCAAGTGTGCGCTTGTAAAAATGACGCCTGGCTGGAATGTTCCCCAGGGAGTGATGAATGTGCGTACATTGTGTGCTTACAAGCCTGAATCCGATGACCGGGGTCATAATATATATATCTGTAAAGCACCTTGAGAGGGCCTTCGGTCCTGAAAATCGCTATAAGAACTAGCTATTATGATTATTATTATTATTTCATTTCTTTGAATCTCCAGACTGCCTCTTATCTGTGTTTGTGAATGGAACATTAGAAGGTGAAACCACCAGTGTGCCAGCTCTCACATGGGTATGTAAATTTAATTCTTTGTTCGTTTCTCTGAAAGTCTACTTTCTCTTTCCTTATGCGTCACTTTTCAATTTATATCAGTAGGCCTGTCCTCATCAGCTTGAGTTTGCCAAATAACCCGCTATTTTCAGACTCAGGATATTATCCCGAAGCTAGAAATTGCATCTTCACCAGACCGATACGCTCATCACAAACTAGCTCGGATGGGTGCAAATTAGACTGCTATTTCCAATATAGCGAGAAATTTTACAAACAAGACCAAGATTTCTCAGGATATTTTCTCGACCAAAAAAATCCCGCTGATTACCACTGCGGGCTAATGAAGACGCAAATTAACTGTTTAATTTGCAATTTAGATAGTTAAAACAGTAGGTTATTTGGCAAACAGGCCTTTTGTATACATTTTTGCATCTCTGTATGTCTTGTTTTTTGCCATTTCTTCTTCTAATTTATTTCCCTCCTTCCACCCCTCAGCTCTCCTCTCTCTTCCTTTCTTTCTGTCTCCATTTCATTGTATCTCTTCCTCTTTTTCTCCTACATTCTCTCTGTCTTTATTTGACTTTTTATCTCCCCCTTTTTCCTAGTTTCCTTATTCTCACTCCTTGTTCTCAAAAACTTGCCTGATCGATGCATGTAGCTTTGATTTTAAATGATTGTAACGTATTTTGTCTTACAGGACTCTGATGTTGATTTGTATCTTGGAGCTGATAACAGCAGTAACCTATTCAAAGGAACAATGGATGAGGTATGTAAGAATAATATAAGCAGCATCTAAGAAGAATATTGTTTTTACATAGCTGCCAACCATTTCTATTTTTAGAGGAATGGTTCCTATTTTGTTGGCCTTCAAGCTAATCTTTTCAACCTCTCTTTTTCTGAAATATTCCAAATTTTGCCTTGAGAGATTCCTAATTTTTGCTGGGAAAGGTTGGCATGTATGTATCTATTAAAACAAAATAATAATTTCCCTTAAAATGTTTACACCGTCATATAATGTATACAAGTAAGGGTCACATACAGTTCCAAAGAGGCAGTACAATAGGCCATTTTCGTTATGCAACCAAATTTAATGTGGTATACATCTTTGTGAAGTGCCTATTTCAATCACCTGTTACATATAGTTGTATATCTCAAAAGTCAGAATGCGAAGTGCATACAGTATTTGTTGCTAGGTAGGACAAAAAGTATGGCTTGCCCTATAAACAGGTGAATGAAATAATTTGTCCTGAGGCACTCCACAAAGACGTATGCATTAAATTTGGTTACATTTCGAAAATGGCATATTGTTTTCATGTTTTCAACAACTTTGAAAAGGATGTTCTACACTACTTTGTTTGTAACAAGGTCACACGTATATGTACAGGTTCTACTCTTCATAATGCCTAATTATGTTACTTAAAGCATTAGTTCTTCGAATTTACCCTTCACAAAAGAATGTGTGGTGTGGCTTAATAATTACTGGAAGTATTAATGGGAGTTGGTCGTCAGTTTCCATGTGCAGAAGTCGATTGTTCGCTGACACCAGACTTGGTGAAAATATCATTAATGGGTGTACAAGTCTGTATGTAGCAAATTTGTAGTCCTATAAAAAATACTCTGCTAGCTTATTGGAGAGTCTTTGGGTAAAGATAATGACTTCACCATATGGGGAATGGTAGGGGGATGCAAAGCGTTGCATAATTTGACCTGTTGGTCATCAAACTGAAGGCCAATCCTGGTGATTGACAACACCCTTTTGGGGTTAACACCCGAATGGCATTGAATTCCCAACGAGGGCCCACCTCTATGCGTCTTTAATCCTTTCTGCCTCTTTAATCCTTTCTGCCTCTTTAATCCTTTCTGCTTCTTTAATCCTTTCTGGGTTAGGTCAGAGTCTGGGGTCTAGCTCTTCTGGACTCTGAGATCGAGGAACACATGCAGCTTGCTGGGCTGGACTGGCAGAAACACAAGAAGCTGCTTGATGGGCATTATACCATGGATAGCGAGAGTGACGGTGAGTAGCACGAGGCTTGAACCTAGGACCTGGGGTTGTTTCACAAAGCCTTTTTTCAATGACAAATGACAAAAGTCAGTGACAAATCTGCTGATAACCAATCAGAAGCAAGGATTTCAGTAGCTTATAACAAAAACTGTCATTTAATTGTCTGATGACAAGTTTTGTGAAACACACCCCTAGCCTGCTCAGTACTTCTCTCCATGAATTAGTCTTGAATCTCAATACTGCTAACATATCCTGAAACACTATGGTGTCTTTACTAAATTCTTCTGCACATACTCTTGAGCTGCTCTGCTATACCCTTAGAAAATGATGCCATTTCATGTGAAAGAAGTAACACAAATTGCCAAAGAATACTGAATGTTTCACACGAAGTAGAGATCACCAACCTTTTAGTCCCATAGGTAGTCTGACCCAGCCATTTATGGATATTTTGAAAAGACTTGCGTATCGTCTTTGAATTGAAATACATTCATGGGTTATTAAGTTAGATATCAATGGAGTATTTTTTGAGACAGAAATGTAAAAATACTATTAAATATAACTACTCTTTGTGTTTTGTTTTATTTCTTGGAAGAGAAGCTGATCTATTTCAACAAATATAAGCCTACTGCGGGGCGTTTCACAAAGCCTTTTTTCAATGACAAATACAAAAAATCAGTAACAACTCTGCTGATAACCAATCTGAAGCAAGGATTTCAGTAGCTTATAACAAAAACTGTCATTTGTCTGATGACAATTTTTGTGAAACGCCCCCCTGATCTTCATCCTTTTGAATATTGTAATATTTCAATGGAAATCTGCAGCTTTGATTTCCACCTTTGACCTTTTTTTTGTCCATAGGTTCTACCATGCTCGTTGACGATTCCCTCTATGACAACCATGGTTTGATCGTAGGAGAGGCAGCATTTGTTCCAAGTACTCTGGATGCTGGCAGGTTTGAGGTCACGTACCCAGATTCAAGTCGGAGAAGAAGAAGGAGAAGCGTTGATACGCATACAGAGTTATGATCAAAACCCAAGTGTAAAGAATTGACTGGAGAACACAGCTTAAAGGGAGTGTAGCTTGGCAAATACTGGTTAACGCCATCTACGTCATCTTTTTGACAACTGCACGAATGGAGTTGAAGAAGACGGAGAAGCATTGATACGCATACAGAGTTATGATCAAAACTCAAGTTTAAAGAATTGACTAGAGAATGCAGCTTAAAGGGAGTGTAGCTTGGCAAATAATGGTTAATGCATCTACGTCTTCCTTTGGACAACTGCACGTAAACAAATGGACTTGATTAACGGTAGTCAGCGATTTAATCTCTACATGGTCAGCGTTCGCGAAACAGACCAAAGTTCTCCTCACGCTTGATGCACATGAATACTGCGGTCGTGTTGTCCGTAGGCATATTATACCCGATGGTTCAGAGTCAGGCCACGGGAAACCCACGTAGTCTCGTCATGCTACACCCCCTTTAAGTAACAAGCAATATTAAGTATGAAGACAGGGGATGCACTGTGTGTATCCTGTATGCTGGATGCCAGAAGGTTTTAAGTGAGCTATCCTGAACTTGAGGGGGAAGAGGAGAAGGAGAAATGTTATTTATGAAAATTATGATTACTATTAAAATATAAATCAACTGTTCCAAGAACATAGAACTTTGTGATTGAGCCAAAGATATATGTATTGAGGCTTACACCAGAAACAACATTCCGTATAAGCGTTGGTGAGGCAGTGTTTAATCCAAGCACTCTTGATGCTGGCAGGCTTGGAAGTTTTTTATCCAGATTTGTGACAGGAAAGGAGGAGAAGAAGTGTGGATACGCATACTTAAATATGATTACCTGCCAAAGAAAACAGGACTGCATGTATTTCCAAAGATATGTATCGAGCGATACCTAGTAAGCAATAAGCTCCAAAAGACGCCCCCCCCCCCCCTCCACACCCTTAAATAAGTTTTTGTGCCGGGGGCTCCTAGCCTAATATCGTTTAGTAGGTCCTGAGGGAGCCCTGTACCAAAAATGGTGCTTTTATCCGACAAGTAACGATAATTTCACTAAGCCACCTGACTATTGGAGAGGCGTCATTCATCCACAATGCTACCTGGTTCCATAGAGGTGTCGTGGTCGAGTGGATACGTCACCAGATTGTGGATCACAAGGTCAGGGGTTCGAGTCCAGCCGTGGCACTAATGTCATTTGGCAAGACGTTGATCTACATTTGCCACGCTCGACCCAGGCGAGGTAAATGGATACCTAGCGGGAATTAATTCCTTGAAATGCTAGAGCGCTGTAATGGCAGCCATGCTAAAGCCAGGGTAATAATTGAAGTGCATAGAGACGTTATAATGTGATATGTGCTATAAAAGAACCAAATATTATAATTTATTATCATTATGATTATTTTCTATCATACATTTATAAGTTAATGAAAAGTAGTTGCTTGAGTACCGAGTGGTGTGGCATGCAAGAATAACTGAAGATCTAGGCCCTATTTCACAAAAGTTGTCAACAGTTAGAAATGACAGTTTTTGTTATAACCTAGTAAAATCCTTGCTTCTGATTGATTATCAGCAGATTTGTCACTGATTTTTATCATTTTGTCAATGTAAAAATACTTTGTGAAACAGGTCCCCATACATATATTCACGGGACCAAACTTTAAGCAGAAATGTAATATCCTGGCTATTGTGCCTTCTTCAAATATTTGTATGATATATATTTGTAATTTATGCAGTGAATCAAAGCCGTCCTCTTCATACCGTCCATGTGTAACCTGCTCAGTTAGGTGTCATCTATCTGAAGAGATATTTTTGTATTTTTTGTGTTTGTTGTGGTTATATATTTTTTCATTCTACCTTTTAAAATTTACAGTAAGGATACTTGTATACTGAAAAACAGGAAGCTTGTTTTAGGTTTACATCGGGTCTAAGGGGAATCGTTAGCTGACTAAAACAGACAAAACAGAGCCTCCCAGGGGGTCCGGGTTGACAAACCCTGTGGTCCTGGGTGGGGGCGTTTCACAAAACTTGTCATCAATGACAAATGACAGTTGTTGTTATAAGCTACTGAAATCCTTGCTTCTGATTGGTTATCAGCACCTTTGTCACTGATTTTTGTCATTTGTCATTGAAAAAAGCTTTTGTGAAACGGGCCCCGGAGGTGGTCTTTGTGAAACCCTGTACTACAGGATTCACTTAAGGCTTGTTTACATATGACACATCGGTTTATGATGTGTCCATATCTTATGGAACACAGATAGTTTCCCAGTTCATGTGTGAACAGGTCTCAAGACTCGTAAGATGCCTTACTGTTATTTTATATCCCTCTTCACGTAAAGTGTGATCTAGTGTGTTTACATTAAGTGTCATATACCGTCCAAATTCATTCTGTGCGCTGCCATATGTGTTATTTGTGTGATTTTAGAGTTTAAAAATGGGGAATTATACAGTTAGCAACTACATGTATATTATTCATACCTCTTGTAAATTTGGATTTGTTTTGTGTGTGTGTGTGTGTGTGTTTATATACATGCTTGTGTTTTTAAATGTGGTCGTCTTTATATGTTGTGTTTTATATCGTGATGTTGATTTTATAAGCAAAGTCTTTCAGAAAAGGTAATGAGCATTCCATTAATAGAATTCTTGTATAAATTTATTAATTTGAGATTATTCAATTGCAGTGGTACTACTTCATAAAATGTATTTATTTCATAAAATGTATCAGCTGTACATAAACGTATGTATATATATCTAATTGTAGATAGCAAAAAAGATGAACATAATTTTTCAAATGAACTATGAAATTCTATATTTTTGTACCAATTATGTGATGCAATTTTGAATATTTAATCAAGGAAAAGGTGTGCTTTAGAAATTAATAAAAACACTTTTTCATTATAAAGTGAAAGTTATTTAATTTTGCATTGAAATAAAGAGAAGTTCAAAACATGAGAATAATTTGCTTGTTTCTTGTTTTCTCCTTGATTCATTTGTTGGCCTAAAAAAATGTGTACAAGCACAAATTATTGTTCTTCATAATCATATCGGCGAATATGCATTATGCAGGGATGCTAGTTAGAATTGATCAGAGGGTCTGAAAATCATCTAAAATGAGCCATTTTGTACACAAAAAAGCCAAAACTATGGTCTGAATTCAGGCTATTGCCTGAAAATGGCATCCCTGATGATGTATTTAAGCAATGTTGGTTCCCAATGGGGTTTTAACATCAGGTTTGAATTGTAAAACAGTGGGTTTTAACTTGTTTTAACATCAATGACAGATTAAAATTTGTTCTCAGCCGAAATTATGAAATTTTGGTCAAAAAAATTGTTTGAATATGCTTCAAGAGCCCCTTAGGAATGCCCAGGGGGGGGGGGGTTCACAAAGACTAAACAAAGAGATGGACTAAAGTTGGACTTGAACTATGGCAGGCCATTCATGCCACTGTTTGCTCTCACCATTATGATCTTTAGATATTTTTTCCTTCAATAATGAATGATCAAAAATGTAAATTCTGTAGCCTTGTGACCATAATTGTACATCCCTTGAGAGACCAATACCAGTAAATGGTGAGCGCAAACAGTGGCATGAACGGCCTGTCGTAGTTAAGTCCAACTTAAAGTCGATCTTAGTCTTTGTGAAACACTACCCTGGTCCCTAGTCTCAAAAAGCACTTGATGCATCACTCATCCGTTCGTAATCCTTCAATTTGACGCATGTTTAGATTGTTGTTTGTGAACCTTCAGGACTGCATACAGACAATTTAGTGAGATATACAAAGATGGTTGGTAACAAGTGATTTTTTAAATCTAACAAAAATCTGTTCAAAAAACAGGACAGCCTCAAAGTCTCATTCTCAAGTTTGACTGCAATGTCATAATATCGCCACTCTCCAAGGTAAGATTTGTGTTGCCTCAACCTAAATTCCCCTACCCAAAGATTCAACCATTATAGACCTGTGAATACTGTGAAACCTGTATAAAAAAAAACACCTCAGAGTCAAGATAAGTAGCCAGCTGGCCTTTGATGTATAGTTTTCTTTATCATATGTTTAATTGAGAAGCCATTTTCAAAGGAAACAAATAAAGTGGTCTTTATAGACAGGTGGTCATTTTTATAATCGCTACATCAGGTTTGACTGCAAAGTGTACCGAAGTATGATGTCATACTGGCCAAGTTGTTAAGGTTGATGGTTCAAAACAATTTTGTGCTCAACAATGGTGTGGTGACCAACCAAGCGCCAACCACTTAATTTTCCCTGCTCCAGCCCGTTGCTTGAATGATTTACAGGTGAACCTCATGTGCAGGCCAGCACCAGTAACCTGGACGACGAGCAATATGATGTTAGCACCTCGGTCCTCTACATGCATACATGTGATAATTTCAACATTGTCAACACCTACATCATTAAGGCCTATTCTGTGCATATAAACGCAATATGATGTACAATACTGAATACTCACAAAGGTATAAGTTTGTAACATGATTTATTAGAATACATAATATATAAGAACATACATATTCAAACTTAGATGCATATTTTGTTGGAAGTATAGTATAAGGAGAATGTTTCCAAGAAATATAACAGGTTTGTTCTCCCTTTCTAACATTTCAGCTATTCATGATATTAAATTCTTACAATTATAAACATAACAAAAGGGTAGCGAAATGCATTGCATTACCGGTAGTGACAGCTAATTTTATTACTATCGGTAGAATACTAGACATTTTAAAACATTGTATGCCCAGCAGAATTGCATGGATGGATGTACAGACAACACATATATTTAGTAGAAAACTCATGCCTCATATGTGCCATTGTTTGACACAAATCAATGCAACACATCTAAGTCTATACATCATCCAAATTATTAAAGATAAAGACCAGTTCTGGTCATGCGATTGCATTGTGAAAGAAACGTTGTGGAATCGATCAATAAAGGTTGATCATCTAGCATATAAGTATTGGCGTGTACTGCAAGGTTCAGGAATCATCAAAATTATTAGAAAAAGAGTTACAAGCACTGTACACAGAAAGATGTATATGAGACTACGCAACAAATGCAGGATATCTATCAGATCCAAATAGATATAATAATTTACCAAATGTATCAATTTAGTAGGCAGTTTTTCGGCAAAATTTGTATCATCACATATTAGTCAAAACATATTCTTTCACATGATTGGTAATGAGAGCTTCCATTTCATTTTTTGAAAGGGGGGCATTTCCAAAACTGATCTTTACCTTTAACATAGACAGCTGTAAGTTCAGCCTCAGAAGTAAGAGTTTAGTAATTCAACTAAAATCTAGTTTGTGTTTGTACACTTTCGCTGGGCACACAATGATTTTTGTTTGTTTAAAGAAAAGTGATGCACAATACACCTGGGCCCCATTTCACGAAACTTGTCATCAGTGACAAATGACAGTTTTTGTTATAAGCTAGTGAAATCCTTGCTCCTGATTGGTTATCAGCAGATTTGTCACTGATTTTTGCCATTTGTCATTGAAAAGGCTTTGTGAAACAGGTCCCTAAGCCCCATTTCACAAAACGTGTCATCAGTGACAAGTGACAGTTTTTGTTATAAGCTACCAAAATCCTTGCTTCTGATAGGTTATCAGCAGATTTGTCACTGATTTTTGTCATTTGTCATTGAAAAAAGCTTTGTGAAACAGGTCCCTGATGTGATAAGACGATCAATATCATGTAGCCATGAATATCATACTACATAGAATAGTAGCACTATTGAGAATCATGTTCATTTGCATCCAGTACTCCAACCTCGCTTTCTTGTGCCAGTAATGAAGGTTCCCATCGATTGTTAGAATATAAAACACCAGAGCAACGGACAAGAATCCAACGATCCGCTTGAATTGAAAATCGGAGGAGAACATGAACCCGCCCATGAGCATGGAGGCACCCAGGATGACCATGGCAACCTCGCTGTGGGGGAGCGTCGATAGGAAGGCGCGGCGCTCCTCCGGCGTCCGGTAGAGCTGTACGGCGCTGATGATGCAGAATATGGAGATGAGGTTTTTTCCATAGGGATAGAGAAAGTGGAGCCGGTATTTCTTGCCAAGGTCTTCCCCGACGCGGCTGGCCAGGATGAGGAAGACACCTATGACGCCGATGTCGTGGGATGCGATCCGGGCCTGAAGAGCGAGATGGAGAAGAAAAAAAAAAGAAGACTAAAACATGGAAGAGCAACATATGAAATACAGATGATGGGAGGTAGGGAGGTTTGTGGGATGGAGAAAGAAAGAAAAATGGAAGAGCAAAAAAAAAGATGCCTATGACACCGATGTCATGGGATGCCTGGAGGGAGATGAGGGTGTCGGTGAGATGGAGAAAAGAAAAAAAGATTGGAAGACTTAAACATGAGATCAAACACAAGAAGAAAGAAATACACATGGTGGGGGGTAGGGATGTTTGTGGGATGGAGAAAGAAATAGAGAGAGAGAAATAGAGAAAAGTGGAAGAGCGAAATAAGAAATACACATGATGAGAGATAGGAACGCTTGTGGGATAGAGAAAGATAGAGAGAAAATGAAAAGAGTAAAATGTGATCAAAAGAAGGAGAAAGAATGCATTTGATGGGAGTTGTGGATGCAGGAGAAACAGAAGACACAATTCATGACAGATGTAGCAAATAAGGGATGGCAAACATGAATGTTTTTCCATCACTAGTATATTTGATTATGAAGGCAAGTAATTAAATTTCACATGTGAGAGATGCAACATGCTCTCTTCAAATCGAAATATTTAAAAAATGAATCATGCGATAAAGGATAAAATGTTTTCCTGCAACAGACTGTTGCTTTCTTTATGCCATTTTACAAAAACTGAAGATTTCTTTTACCTTTTTTTTTCTTTCAATTTTTAATTTTTAATTTTTTGTATTATTGTTATTATCATTATTAATATTAATTTTTTTAGGGGGGTGGTTGGAGTAGTGATCAGTCCCCTTGACAAGTATATCAATCTTTATTGCATGGATTAAAGGGAGTTATTGAGAGAGGGTCTTACCACAAGCCACATCTTGGACTTTGGTTGCTGGCTCTGGGTTATTGTTGTGAAGATCGCCATGGAAACGGCCGTGACGATGGCCCATAGTGACCTCTGAGAGCCGAATGACATCATCGTCCCGCAGGTGAACATGACTACGATGTGAATGTAGACATAGATCAAAGGGAATCCTTCCGATCTAAACAATGAAACAGAAATGGAGAGAGGATGACGTTATTGGTGTTTCTTCTCGGGGTAATAGTATATTTGTAAAGCGCTTAGAGACATTTGTATTAAGCGCTATATAAAAATTAATATTATTATTATTATTATTATATGGTTTATGGTATTGTGCATAGGTCTACAAGAAGTTTGCATAATTTTTACTGATAGCCTCAGTTTGAGGTGCAGAGTTATGGCGTAGAGACGGTAGGCCTATTGAGCAACACCGTCGACATCGAAGCCCTAAACGGAGGCTTCCTGATGTTTGTATGTGATCCAAATTCAGGTTGAAAATGCAATATATGATTATGATTAAAATTAGTACAAAATTGGGCTAAAATTCCTTTGCTAAGATTAAGATTAAGAATGGATATGAAACTGCTATTTTGCTTTAACAAAATGGATACGAAAGTACACTAGAATAGAAAGGAGAGGGTTAAACTACCAATCATTTGTGATCTTATTACTCTTACAAGGAATCAATAATGTATAATTTATGTTTAGGTTCTACTCAAGAGGGGGGAAAGGGAAAGTCTGAGATCCCCCCCCCCCCCCACACACACACACACAATAGGCCCGTCCTAGTTAATTCAGGACATGAAATTCAATACGTGGGGCTACAATTTTGAGAAGCAAAACTAGAAGAACAAATACGTAAACGAAATATTATTAATACATACCTGTGTTCTTGCTCCCTTTCAGAACATAGCATCGTAAGGGTTAAAGCTGAAAGAAATGGAAATCTGTACATAACAAAGGCAGAAATGCCTTTGATTATGGACGAAATTGAAGGTTTCCGGGTAGCTGTGGGTGCCGCCATTTTGAATTAGCTTCCTCTTTCGATCGAGTGGTCGCGCTGCGCTGAGCTGAGGGCGCGGCCGGCCCCTAGCTTTCTAGCCTCCACTGGTTTGACGTAGTAGGTCCATGATTTAACACTGACCTTTTCGTTTCATATTAATTTTCGAAATTGAAATTTTTCTTGTCTCGCCGCCTTTTTTTCTTACACTTAAATTCCTAAGAAATATTTGACCTTTACAATTTGCATTTGATCGGGGAGGGGCGGATGGGGGAAGGGGGATAGACAAGCCCCCCCCCCCCCCCCCCACAGAGCTCCCACTTCCCCCTCCCCGTCCAAATCCAATCTGGAACAACTTATCTAAAGTAAGATATACAGATTAAATTCCCCCATATTTGACGATTGATTTGATTTTGTGAAAAAGTTGTAAACACTAAAGAGGCCTACGTATGGCACTTCAAATAGGCTGTTCAAAGCGGTAATGTCAATGTGATGTTTACTTTTGTTAGAGGACATTTAATAATATGCTAGCTATAAAAGTACGTGCCCCAAGAAATAAGGAACTTACGAAAAAACAGAAATTAGTGATATTTTTGTACACGGCAAATGGGAGATCGAGTTATCCACGTCTTACGTCACAATCCAGTAACCAAACTATAAATTTGAGATTCGTATAGACTTGATCCTATATTTCAAAAATTCATAACTTCCTTAATATTGGTCCGATTCATTTCAAACTGTTGCCAGAGTCCATTCTGTTTCTGTATTTTTCTGCTTTCATACAAATAAACTTATTACAAGGGTTACTGGATTGTCTTTTAAATAATCTAACAAAAATTGCACTGCTCCGCAAGCGAAACGAAGATGAACGCGGTTGATAAAAATAAAAAGTCCAATCTGCTGCTTGCCAGAGCAGATAAAGGTATAATACTACGCGAAAATGAAGATGCTGATAAATCTCATAGACTGTACGGGAACCACTCGGTAGAAAAACGTGTTCTCTTTCTGAAAACTTTTTACTAAACTGTACACAACACTGAAGGAATAAAAACTAGATTTGTAAAAATCATTCAGAAAAATGATTTGTGTCATGGTGGTGGGGCGGGGTCCCGCCCCCCCCCCCCACTCAGTGTTATTTAGGGTACGCATATGCTCGTACCCTCTTTTTGAAAGCACCCCCTATCTGAGGACTGCCATAATTTCCGAACCCCCCTTTCGCGGGCTTTTCGCGGGCTTTTCCTGTCTTGGAGACCCCCCTAAATCAGGAAAAATGCTCAATATGTACCCCCCTAAATTCGGAATAATTTCTCAGGAGTCCACAGAGATGAGAGGAAAAAAAAAGAAAAACACCCCTTTTTTAAAGAAATCTCCGGGTGAAAAGTCAAATACACCCCTTTTTTTACAATTCTCAGGCCGGACTTGTCGCACGAAAAGTACCCCTTTACCGGACATTTTGGCAACACGCATGCGGTTATTCCGACCTCTGAGTGGGGGGGGGGGGGCGGGGGCGGGGTTGTTAAAATTTGCACAACGGCCAGCAGGGCGCGAATTTCAGTTGGCCTCATATCCAACAATATAGTCAGCATCCTGCTACATCTTAACGGTGTAATACCCACCCCCCTCTCCCATATTATCCGATCAAAAGAAAAAGTCGTAACAAATAAGTCATAATCAAACCTAAATGCAAAAGGTTTTATAGGAATTAGGGTGGCCATTTATTGAATGATTTTGACAATGATTTATTCCTAATAGATCCAGATAATAGTATACATTCTCAGATTTTATTAAATGACAATTGGGGAGTGTTCTTGGTTCTTTTTTGCGTGACTGCTAAAGCATGTGTGTGCGACAATGCTAATCAACTATAGGGGACCCACGTCCTTAAGTCATAACTGACAGTAATGGGGATTAATGCCTCATAAAAGGGCACTAATATAGCACATCGACACGGTTTTTGTCCTGGGGACTCACAGTAACTAGGCCATTGCTTAGCCAATGAATCATGACTGTACGCAGCGGGCGCTAGGGTACGTCGACGCCCCCACAAAAAAAGAAAAAACAAATGCAATAATTTTTCAATAATTCATTGCATTTCCCCCCAGTCCCCAACAGGAAAAAAATTCTCTGTAGGGTCGTGCATTATGGTTCAGGGAATGCCCACATAGAAGATTTGTTAATGTTGGGGGTCGGGGCAAAATGCAATGACTTTTTGAAATTATTGCATTTTCTTTGTTTTTGTTTTGTTTATGTGGGGGCGTCGACGTACCCTAGCGCCCGCTGCGTACAGTCATGATTCATTTGCTAAGCAATGGCCTAGTTACTGTGAGCCCCCAGGATCAAAACCGCGTGTCGATGTGCTATATTAGTGCCCTTTTATGAGGTATTAATCCCCATTACTGTCAGTTATGACTTAAGGACGTATATGTCCCCTAGTTGATAAGCATATATAGCACACACATGTTTAGCTGTCACGCAAAACAAACACTCAATAATTATTATTCAGTAAAATCTGAGAATGTATACTATTATCGAGATCTATTAGGATTAAATCTTTGTCAAAATCATTCAAGAAATTGGGGTAAAAATAATTATTCCACCATTATGACCAACAGTATAGTATTATATATGGAAACAATCATACACGGTTAACACAAGTCACAATTTTGATGTGCAAAAAATGGCCAGCCCGGCCACATACGAAAAACTGGGGAACTAGTTATTCTGATAGGTTTGCAACGCTTTCAAGAGGGCATTTTTTTAAATTCAATTAAAGAGGAATTATCTTTCTATGTGCCGGGAAGGGCATTCCGATATTGTGGGCCAGTGAAAGTAATGAACCTGCTGGGAAAAAATTTTGTTTTTGTTTTTGAAGGTGATAAGCAGGCGCGGATCCAGGGGGGGGGGGCTGAGCGGGCCTTGGCCCCCCGGCCAAAAAAAGACGCCCTCCAAAAAAAAAAAAAAAAAAAAAAAATGATGTTGATAATGTTTGTAAAATAATCTCTAAAAAAGTTAATATTGGTATTTTTTCTTGCTCAGGGGGGGGGGGGGGGGGTGTTGAGCGAAATATCAGCCGGCGAGATTTTCAAATTTCAAACAAGAAACAAAAATAAGTGCTCACTATACTCCCCCCCCCTCCCTTGAGCAAAAGAAATATAACAAAATTAGGCCAATTTACATTTTCTAGAGATTATTTTACAAACATTATCAACACGCAGCTTCAATGAAAGTTTATCATTTACAATCTTTCCCAGTAAATTCGTAGAAGACACTTTGTGTATAATAAATTGATAATAATATCAAGTGCAATATTTTCTGCTAAGTTGTCAAATAATACTAATTGAGAAACAATTATTTTTTTTTGGAAATTCATTAACAATTGATTTGCCTTGATCCAGTTTTCCTACCATCCTGGCGCAGATTATGCCTACCTACTTGTATCAACCCTGGCATATCTCGATTTAATCTTATCTTTCCCTTTTCAGATTTTTAACTAGAGTCCATTTTTTTAAGTCAAGAAAAAATGCCCTTTTTTCAGTTTATGTGCCACTGTACATTTGTAATTGAGTCCCTACTCAGAAGCCACAGTTTGATATTACAATTGTATAGAAGACAAAGTGGACTCAGGCATAATATTCAAAGAAAACATCGAGAGGAGGCATGTGCCAGAAAAATGACGACCTCTCTATAAATAAGAGCTCAAATAATTTTCTACCTGATCTAGGTTTTCAGTAATATTTTGTTTCTTTGTACGTCTCTAGAAACATACGCTATTTGACATTTTCGTAGAGGGCAGCATACAAATGGAGACAAATAATCAGTGAAAACAGCAGCTGAATGCTTTGTTCCGTACACAACTTGATGACGGTAAATATTTCACGTTTCTAACTCGAATCATAATAATTTAGGCGTAGTTTGCCCGAAATTGCTATCCTTGATATTAGAAGATCTACTATGAGGTAAAATGAATATTTTGTGATGTTTGATCGTGTGACGATCGTAATGTTAATTCTCTGCATCTGACAGTTCAACGAAATGTCAGCATGCGTTAGGCTGTACGTACGCGCACTATTTGCTATAGGCCTAGTCAATGTAATGTATTGGTTTTCATTGTGATATTGGTGACGCTTAAAATTGAGTGCGTGGGACTGCATGCGAAAATAGACCCGCAATTTCACCCTATTGCCCGTATCCTACTATTATAAATATGAATAACTATTTGAGTGTGATATTACATTTCTTCTTGTTCATGTTGTTGAGAGAATTAATTTCAGTAGGGATCATTAAATAAAATAAAATAATGTTTTTAAGTTGAGATGGTGTCTGTCACTGGTCACTTCCAACCCGCAGTCAGTCGTGTTATTTGCGGACTGAATTTGATACTGATTTTGTGGTGATTGTGTTGAGATGGCTGCATTTAATTTACTAGCATTATCTGTCTTAAATAAGGATTGATTGTAAAAACACTTTCTGTTCGTGGGAGCTCTTTTCATGCGTTTGTTATTTTGATGTGTGTAAATTTGATTAACTCAATGGTATTTAAAGTAGAGGTAGGGTGTCTGAACGATTTTTCAATTTTCAATTTGGGATCGTTTTTCATCATTTTTGTTTGATATAAAATAAAAAATGTAATCAGAATAATACCTTTCAAATTTCAAGACTCACCGATGTTTCTATCAAAAGATACAGCCCCTCAAAAATTGTGCAATATTCATAGCATTTTGGTCAGAATTGACAGAAAAGTGGTTCACGCAGAGTTATAATTTCTGCTCAAAAGCTGCACAGCTAATGCACAGCACGATATGCAAAGTGTGGAGCAAGGGTATTTTCAAACTGTTGTAACAAATGATCCCTTGGGACTAGAGAAAAAATAAGTGCATGGATATATTCTTTACAGCTGGCCCAACTTATCCCTCGGGGGAGCAGATCGTGAAATTGGTAAATCTCCGAGTTACCATGGAAACGATGTTTAAATCGCTGTTTTGAGCAAGATATTTTTAAAATTCCGGGGGTGGCCCCCTATGGGGAATATGGAGAAAAACCTGCTCTTTCATATGACACCACATTTATTGAGTTTCACCTTCAGGATCATTTGTTATAAAGGTTTGAATTTAAAATTTTTCATAAAACCATTGACCAATTTTGCTTGGTCGCGCAATGCATGTAGACCACATAGGGATGTGTGCAATCTCTATGGGAAAGATTTTAGCACACAACATCGGGTGCGCGATCAGACACCCTAGTAGAGGTTCATTGATTTTAAATGATCTTATTTGTATCATTGCATAAGGGGAGGTTAGATCAAACAAGCTTATCGAAATTCCCTACTTCGAAACGTTCAAAGCAACGATAATTGTCAATTTTAAAATGATAAAATACCACCCCACTTTCGCACTTGAAGAGCTCTCCAAACACTTGCAAGATTTGTGACGTCACTCAAGGACCCCACTTAGCATAACCAGATGATGTTCCCAAACAGTGCACACATTTTCAGTGCCTGTTTCCTTGTCTGCTTTTCACTTACATGTATTTCTCTTACATGTATCTACTTCACCAGTATCATTGTAATTATTCATCTGTTGCCTCGCTCTAAATTTCTGGTGGAGCGCTCATCGTATATCCCAGATCCTGGGTGGTGCTTGTATCAATTATTGTTGACCTAAAACCTGTGTAAGATTGTCATGTGCAAGCTCCCTGGTTTTGAGCGATAACTTATTTGCCATACTTGTAATTTTCAATGAATATCTATTTTAAAGCTTATCTGCCATAGTTTACAGGAGGGATTAGACCGCTCTGCAAGGTCACTGGACAGGTGGTTATCTCATCAACTCAGCTCTCAGTTAACATAAGAAAAAGAGGATCATGGGGGACCAATGGTCACCGATTAGGCATTGTTTGTTATATAGAGGGCGCAAGTAGCTACCAGTAGTGCAGTGGGCCTTTAAGTACACTTGCATTTTATTGATTTTTTATCAGAGCTCCTTTGCAGTTGACCAGAGCTTTTTTACAGCTTACCCAAGAAAAATTGCCCACCGGTCCCGTGTATTTTATTCACCGATTGAGACAAACCAATTGAGATATCCTCACTCGTGTCGTCCTTCACGACATTTCCAGTTTTCCTTATTTTTTAAAATGTTTATTTTCTTTTTTTTAGTATTTAGCCGAATTGAAATTATATAGCAGAGAAAGTTTTTTAAATTATTTTCATCAGTAAATTAGTTGTTATTTTTATGTTTTGGTCTGTCACCCCAAGGGTAGCCAACAAACAAAGATTCAAGCATGTACAATTGGAACATGGAAGGAGTACAAAGTATGCAAAGCAAACGATTGTGGCTGAGCTCTGGGGCTTGCTCCCAAGGGCTCTAAGGTTCTTGATGCATTCTGATCAATATTTTGAAGCATCCTAATCTTAAACATATTTTATGCCTTATATAATTTATAATTACATTTCGGTTGAGAACAAATTTCTGATTTTCAAACCTGTACAATCAAAGTTAAACAAAATATTGATTGCTGGATTGATTGATTGATTGCGCGTTGATTTCTTCTTAATAGGACATGGAGCAGTCTGCTGTGCGAGCTGAAACAAAGCCACTTGCAGAAGCTGCAAGCACAGGGGCAAGTGTCCCTTGCCAAGGGCTAGTAGATTTGATTGATTAATTGAATGAATGCTGTATTGATTGATTATTTGATTGCACGTTTGACTGTCAAAATAGGAAATGAAGCAATCTGCTGTGCAAAGTGAAGCAAAGCAAATCTCAGAGGCTGCAAGCACAGGGGCAAGTTTCCCTTGCCTGGGGACTAGATTGACTGATTGCTTGTTTGATTGCTTGATTGCTCTTTCGATTGATTCAAATTTTTGATTGCATTTTGTGATTGCTCGTATATTAATTGCTTTGTCTGAATAGGACATGGAGCAGTCTGCTGTGCAAGCTATAGCAAAGCACCTTCCAGAAGCTGCCAGCACAGGGGCTAACGTCCCATGCCTTGGGGCTAGTAGATTGACTGATCGCTTGTTTGATTGCTTGATTGCTTGATTGCTCATTCGATTGATTCAAATTTTTGATTGCTTAAAAGCTGATTGTTTTGTTTCTAAGTAGGACATTGAGCAGTCTGCTGTGCAAGCTGAACCAAAGCATCTCCCATAAACTGCAAGCATTGCCTGGAGCTAGTAAACTGACTAATCGCTTGTTTGATTGATTGATCGATTGATTGATTGCTTGTTTGATTAATCAAATTTTGTATTGCATTTTTTGATTGCTTAAATATTGATTGCTTTCTCTAAATAGGACACGGAGCAGTCTGCTGTACAAGCTGAAGCAAAGCATCTCCCAGAAGCTGCCAGCACAGAGGCGAATGTCCATTGCCTGGGGCTAGTAGATTGACTGATTGCTTGTTTAATTGCATGTTTGATTGATTGAATAATTGATTGCATTTTTTGATTGTTTTGTCTAAATAGGACATGGAGCAGTCTGCTGTGCAAGCTGAAGCAAAGCACCTCCCAGAAGCTGCCAGCACAGGGGCTAATGTCCCATGCCTTGGGTTAGTGGATGCTATCATTATCAAGGAGGAGTCAGAGGGGGGCGTGTGGGACAACAACGGCACCCTGCAGCAACAAACACCCATACAACAGGTACGAGCCTTCACTTTTCACTTGATTGAGTTACAGTGCTACTTCATATGATAGAAAGAATCAGACCCTCAACCAGATAATCTTTAAAGCCCCACTGCACTACTTATAGATACTTGCGCCCTCTATACAGCCAACAATGTCTAAGCGGTACCCGTTGATCCCCCATGATGCCCTTTTTCTTTTGTTTATTGAAAGCTGATTTGATGAGATAACCACCTGCCAGTGACATTGCAGGGAGGTCTAATCCCTCCTGGCCAAACTAGTGCAGAGGGGTTTAAGAAAATTGAATGCAGACAAGTTGTTGAGGCTTCAAGTTTGTAGAAGCTACATGTAATAGTTTTTCAAAGATAAATTTGATAGTCCATAAATGCAAAGTGCGTTTCAGACACACATTTTTTGTTGGGATGTAAAATTGAAGAGATTTTTTTGTTGAGAGAGAGTAGTTGCACTATGTTATACGGGTGCTTTTGTTTTTATTTGTTTTCTTTATATGTCAAGTTTTGGATGCATATTGAGATTTTGTCAGAGTCTGTAAAGCTTTAAATGCTTGTAGAACTGGCAAAACCAGGAACTTTGGTGGATATCTTTAGGGGTCCAGATTTGAAAGAGTTTCTTGTAACCCTGTAAACGATCATCGGATCGGCCGTCGATACCGATCCGATCAGGGGTGATCGGCGAAAAATTTCCGATCGCCGATCAATTAAAATGATCGGAAAAAAATCGGCAATTTTTTTTTTTTTTTTTTTTTTTTTTTTTTTTTTTTTTTATGACGAAAATTTTCAAGTTTTTGGCTGTCAAATGCTCAAAAAAAGTTCATGGCTGGGATTATTTTATCATTTGGAGTTGTTGTAGACAATGATTGTTGATATTTAGTGCCTTTTCATGACTTTGAAATTAATAATATTGGTCTAAGAGCAGAGGCAAAACATGCGGGCCGCCATCTTGGATTATTATGTAGTTTTTTTTTTTTTTTTTAATGACGAAAATTTTCAAGTTTTTGGCTATCAAATGCTCAAAAAAAGTTCATGGCTGGGATTATTTTGTCATTTGGAGTTGTTGTAGACCATGTTTGTTGATATTTAGTGCCTTTTCATGACTTTGAAATTAATAATATTGGTCTAAGAGCAGAGGCAAAACATGCGGGCCGCCATCTTGGATTATAATGTAGGTTTTTTTTTTTTTTTTAATGACGAAAATTTTCAAGTTTTTGGCTATCAAATGCTCAAAAAAAGTTCATGGCTGGGATTATTTTGTCATTTGGAGTTGTTGTAGACCATGTTTGTTGATATTTAGTGCCTTTTCATGACTTTGAAATTAATAATATTGGTCTAAGAGCAGAGGCAAAACATGCGGGCCGCCATCTTGGATTATAATGCATAGAGGTCTACCTACATTATAATCCAAGATGGCGGCCCGCATGTTTTGCCTCTGCTCTTAGACCAATATTTTTAATTTCAAAGTCATGAAAAGGCACAAAATATCAACAAACATGGTCTACAACAACTCCTAATGACAAAATAATCCCAGCCATGAACTTTTTTTGAGCATTTGATAGCCAAAAACTTGAAAAATTTCGTCATTTAAAAAAAAAAAAAAAAAAAAAAAAAAAAAAAAAAAATCGGCCGATTTTTTTTGTCGCTCTTCCGATCCGATACCGATCAAAGGTGCGAGGGTGTCGCTCCGATCTTCCGATCCGATCAGAGCCCCAACTTACAGGGTTAGTTTCTTGTCTATGTAATCTGGGCCCCGTATTATAAAGATTGATTCATTTACTTTCCTTATAAGATGGGTTATCAAACTTACGCTGGATTTGAGGAGATACGCTTGATTTGTCAAAGTTATGCTAGATTCATTAAACTTACGCTTGATCGTAACTCTTTATGATACAGGCCCTGTACATGTATCTTTAGTAGCTTATGGAATACCATCTACTCTCATTCTTAAATATTTCAAATCGGTATCTACTAGGTCCAGATCCAAACCCAGGCCCAGGTCCAGCCCCAGGTGTTCTACCAAGCAGTGACCACAGGCTACCAGCAGCAGCAGCAAACGGTCAAGCAGGCCACTGCGCAGGTGATGGCCGATGTCCAATGGGTCAATACGGCCAGGAACAACCTAGGAGGGACCACTACAGTGACCATTGATCCGCTGGTTTATGAGACTGCTTACCTGCAGGTGATTGAGAGTTTAGGATGAACTATTGACTTCTTCATAAGGATATAGTTAGAAATATAAACCTCTCTTTAGTATACATGTTGAATAAATCTAGTCATCTGATTGGTCAAAATTGGAATCATGATTTTAGCCATGCCCGCCTAACGATCAATAGTTCATGAGAAAGATGTCCGTTGCCTGGGGTAACGGGCCGCATGAATAAATTTTGCTGAAATCTCCATTGGTTTACGTGTAAAAAGTTTCTTTGTGCGAGAGCGGATACAATTCACTGCTTTGTGTGCGATCAGGGGTCATAGCAGGATATAATGTCCCCGAGAGCTTATAGAACAGCCAGGCCTCTCAAAGCAGTTGATATCTCTATGCTATTGCCTTTCCTTGATTTGGTTTGAAACATACTGCTAGGAATAACCTTAGAGGGACCACTACAGTGACTGGTTTATGAAACTGCTTACCTACAAGACAAGGTTTGGGTTATTATTGCATTCACCCCTTTATTACTGTATTACACTTTTCAGATCTTTCATCTGACTCGGAGGAAAATCCAATTTTATCTCTAACCCTAAATACCTGTGATTTCCAAGCATTGTTGTAGTATACCTAACATATTATGAAACCTCTTTACATTACTGATGCATTTTTATAAATAAAGCACTGCTTACATTGAACAAGTATTTTAATAATGTTTTGTAACAGATTAATGTCTATACCAAACTAACCTGAGTGTGGACACGTTTAATTCTTATATGAGTCCTTGGCCATGTATTATAAAGCCTTTTGATTGATCATAAGGTCAATATTGAACGTACCAGTAATAAATCTATGGCTCATCATGTATTGATCAAACATAACATCAGTCATAACTCTTTATAAGATGCGGCACTTGCAATTGTTTTTAAAATCTTGATTTCTTGATTTCAGGCCCAGGCTAACAACGCAGTCAAGACAACAGATGAGAATTCTCTTGAGGAAGAGCATGAGAACGTCATCATTCCTAAATCTAAAAACAGTAAGTTTAAAATATTTCAATTTTACCATGCTGCAAGGTTTATGGATACGTCCATTTTGTTCTCCATATACATGTACATTGCACCCACATGACAATAGGCCTACTTTGAAGCATGCAAAACAGATAATTTTTCTTAGCACTGGTCATAATTTATTCAACTGTTATATTCTTCCTATGAATTTGCTTTTAAAGTCCTATCATAAAACACTTATTTTTCCACATCCATTACCCACTTCCGTTATCCCACCATCAATATTCTTTGATCTAAGATGTACCTATAATTGTTTGTTATGAATGTACTATTTTTAATGACTTTGTAATACTATTGTATTTTGTGCAGTATCCGTGTGTTAATATTTATGTAAATTGCACTCAATTCAGCCGAAAGGCTGCCATGTACAATGTTTTTTATACCACAATAAATAAATAAATAAATAAATATGTACGTAGGTGTTTCAGTTACAACTTTAAGAGGCAAATTTGTCAATGCTCTGTTTTTTGTCCTTGTTCAGTTTGATAAGAATAAAGTTCCATGGTTCCCAATCTTTGAACCCAGTTTGTTTCTTAAGGCTAATCTTGAGCTCTGTTTTGGACGACGTTTGTCGAGAGAACATGGCTATAATAATTCTCGGTTGTTCATCCTGCAGTAGATTGATTGTTTGAACCAGTAAAATAAAAAAAAATCTCACAAAGACTTGCTGAAAATGAACTTCAATAAAAATCACAACTCTCATTTGCACATAGTGACCTGTGTTAAGCACATGGTGTCGTGCTTACTGACCTTGATTTCCTTATCTTTCTGTGCTCATTACTCAGCCCCATTCAGTGTAAGTTTTGTTGGATTCTGTGAGCATTTATTTTCTATCATTACTAGAACTCAAGCTTATCTTTAAGAAGAAGATGTAAGCTTTTCATAATCCAAAAGTCTTGAATATCACAAACCAATTTGGGAGGGAAGAAGTGTATCACCGAAAGGTTTGATGTTCTGATCAAACTCAAGCTTGAGATTGCGCTATATCTCCCATCTCCACATCTCTATGGGTATTTCGGATACAAACAACGGATGCTCGCTGGGGCTTTTTTTTTTTTGGAAGAGCCCCCGTCGACAAAAAATGAATTTGAGCCCTGTGTAGGACAGATTTTTTGCTTTCAAGAAATTTCTCCAATTCGTCTTTCCAAGTCTCCATTGACCTGGGCTCCACTTCACAAAACTTGTTATCAGTGACAAAAAACAGTTTTTGTTACAAGCTAGTGAAATCCTAGCATTGGATTGGTTATCAGCTGATTTGTCACTGATTTTTGTAATTTGTCATAGAAGAAAGGCTTTGTGAAACAGGTCCTTTACCATCCTAAATATTACCCCTAGAATCATTCGTAACATCCTCATTTTTGTAAAATCCAGAGTCTTTTCTTCCTTCTTTGTCAAAGCACACGTTTCAATGCCTGCTTACCTTCAGTGTTCAGAAAAGCGGAATTACAGTACATGTTGGTATGGAGAATTACATTTTGTTAGTTATGCAAACTTGAACTAGTTTTTCAAGGTCATCAGTGATCAGTAAAATTAGCACTTTTTTATGTTGACTGTGATCCTTGTATCTTTGACATCAAGGTTGAATTTTGGAAGAATTTTATCACTTTGTATTTGTACCAGAGCTCATGTTTTTATTTGTCCTTGTCCAATTCCCAGATCTTCAGAACGTCGTCGTCATGTCAACAAATAACTACGAGGATGGGAGGAGAAAGTTTGACAAAAAATATTTCTGCTTGTACTGCGAGAAATCTGTGTCCAAGATGCCCAGGCATCTGGTCAAGCTGCACTACACTGAGGCTGCTGTCATTGACTTTGTACATGAGAAAGACCCTCTCTTAAAAGACGCTAAGCTGGCGAAGTTAAGAAATCTAGGTAAGTTGTGAAAATATTTGATCAGTTAGATATCTCTCTTTAATCAGAAATTATTATTAGAATTGAGTATTAAAATTGTGTGTCCTTCTTCTATTAATGTTTTATCAGTGTATTATGTCGTTTTGTTATCATTGGACATGATATCATTTTGATATAAATAATTTTCCCGTAACTGCAGTCCGAGTTATAGCAGGCTAAGTATTCAATGGATGGAACAATTAAAGTAATTATTGTAATTCACACCATTCAATTATTTGAAAGTTGTGCTGTCCTACTTTGACATAGGGAGCAACTGTCGAATTGCAGGAATTTGATGTTTGTATCTAGTTTGTATGCCTCCATCCACCAAAGGTGGTGCCAGAGGCATTTTTTATTTAATTTTTGTTTAAAATGCACAACTATGTTAATTTCCAAACAATGGCTTTATAGACCTTTAGAAACTATAGCATACCTGCCAACCCTCTCGAATAATCCGGAATATCCTGTTTTTCTGGATTTTTAGGATCCCAAAATGCGGGATATCCCAGATTTTTAAAAATTAATTTTTTTTTTTTTTTTTTTGTGTTGCTTAAGCCAAATTAAGCTTGTTTTATCATATGTCGCGTATTGCGTGCGTTGGAAGGGCTGCATGATTGAGCAGCGAATTTGTATTCGCTTTTTTGCATAGATTTACCGCGTATTGCAAGTTACACTGCCGCTGCATGTGCGAACGCCTGTTAAGGGTACAGATTTCTTATTTTCGAAGACATACCGTGCTAAAAATTCTTAATTCTCATTTTCAAATGTTGGCAGGTATGCCATAGACAAGTGCTTTGAAATAATTACTAAAAATACTGTTAATAACATTAGTTCTTCTCTGTTATGTGTTTCCCCTTAATTTTTTTTACAAATTGCAGATGACAATAATTTGTGTTCTTTTGCCATAGTACAACAGTGTGCTTATGATCCTTCTTGAAAATCCTTTGTTGACGCTTCTTTTTTTAATGGCAGTGTGCTGATGATCCTTCTTGAAAATCTTTTTTTGTTGATTCTTTTTGTTGACGCTTCTTTTTTAATGGTTTCCCATGACAGGTAATCACAGACACAACATGCACGTCCTCCAGAAGGGCAAAGGCAGTCTCATCGTCAAGAAACGCCCCACCCTAGGGGCCGACCCCCGCGAGTACATTCCATGTTCCTACTGCTATGCATACTACGTCAAGCGTGACCTCTGGAAGCACGAATGCCCTCTCAACGGACTCCGTGATAAGGTCAAGGACAAAGGGTTGGGCGTGTCGGACGAGGGCGTGCTGTCCGTCGCGCATCGGGAATGCCCTTTGGAGGAGCTGCGCGGGGACGTGCTCGGAATCAACAAAATGGATGACGTGTCGCACTGTATCAGTTACGATCCGCTCATCCTTGAGATCGCGCAGAAGGAATGTCTGAAGTTGAATCACGATCGCGAAGAGGCGGTCTCGATAAAACTAAGACTGCGTGAGTTGGGTAGACTGCTGTTAGAGCTGAGGTTTGTAAGCGGAGACCCTCTTGCCACGTTGCATACCTTCATCGACCCGGCCAAGTTTCAGAACGTCGTGATCGCCGCAAGGCGGTTGGCGGGGTTCAACCACCGGAGATACAACAACTCGTCACCGAGTCTGAACACTAACGTCGGGTACTCGCTCAAGAAGTGCACGTACATCCTGCAGGCGAAGGCGTCAAGTCTCGGGGACACGCTCGCCTACAAGCGAGCTTCGGAGTTCCACGACATGCTCGAATTCCAGTTCCACGAAGAAACCACCTTGCCGCACTTTGGAAGCATTCTGGATGAAGGGAGAGGAAACCCAAAGTGGTTATCACTCGCACAGGACGTTGCGTGTCTGACGTCGTACCTCAAGCGAATCGCCCATGAACAAATGCGAATGCTGCACACGAACGAAGACATCTACGATGCGTGGCTCAACCTCAGCGAGATCGCCCTCACGCAGGTGATTCTCTTCAATCGACGGCGGCTCGGAAGCATCGCTAAGATGAAGCTCAGCGACTACGCCCGCAAGCACCAACCGCTTCACCCCGATGTCCACGTTGTCTACGACGCCATGAGCCTCTTCGAGAAAGAGCTCTGCAAGAAGCTGACACGCATCGAGGTTATCGGAAAGAAAGGCAAGGTCGTGCCCGTGCTTCTAACGGACGAAATCAAGCTTTGGATCGACATTCTGGTTGCGAAGCGCCACGACGTGGGCATCCCCGACACCAACGAGTACCTCTTCCCGGTAATCCAGCCCGACTCCAGGGTGTCCAACACGGTGAGAGGTCTTGAGTGTCTGCAGAGGTTTGCCTTTGAGTGCGGTGCCAGCAGTCCGGAGAATCTTCAGTGCAAGCAGCTGAAGAACCACATTGCCACACTGAGTCAGATACTGAATCTGAAGGACAATGAGCTATGTATTGTAGCGAGACTTACTGGACATGATGTGAGGATACACGGACCTGATGCTATGCTCCAGGTAAGTTCTGAAATGTAGGAGTACAGTGGAACCTTTTTATAACAAGGACCTTTGAAATTACCTTGTTATATTGGGATTAAAAAGCTAAAGAATATAAAGAGCTGGGATGAGCAAAATCATGTTTATCAGATACCTCGTTATAATGGAGCTCTTTATAATGAGGTTCTACTGTATTTAGCTGCATGTAAATGTAATTAGTTTATCTACAAGGGAACTCTACTCTGGTATAATGTTGGCTGGAATAAATGAAAAAGAGGAAAGAAACAGTCGATCAATATTTTTCTTTTTTGTTAAAGGACAAGAATGTTTTAAAGATCTGATTGACCAAACAGAATTGCCACCTGTCATTTACATTTTTCTATCCCATTCCCGTTTTCTATAAAGAGAAAGTAGAAAGAGGTATTATTAAAACATGTTTGAATGTACTATCCTCTCCGAAATGCATCTACTGTAGATCTTATGTACCTGTACTGCTTCATAATTTGCTTAATTTGACAATTTATATAGAAATAATGATAAATATTCCGTGCTTGTACATGTATAGCCCACAACACATTACCATAAAACGTTCCTATGCGCTTCTAAAGAGCTTTGAAATAAGTATCCTAGCTTTAGCCCCCGCAGCTCTTATCAGTGCACAGTGCATTTCAAAGAATAATCCTACCAGGTACTCATTTGCCTCACCTGGGTCGAGTGTGTCAAATGTAGATTAATGTCTTACCAAAAGAAGTTAAAAGTGTTGTGGCAGGGACTTGAAGCCTGTTACATTGTGGTTCACTGCCCGGAGATTTATCCACTGGTCCCCAACACCTCTCCAATATTTGCCACATTCTATTCAGGTGAGGCAAATGTAGCTTAATGTCTTACCAAAAGATGTTTAGTGTTGTGGCAGGGATTTGAACCCAGTACCTTGTGGTTCACAGCCTGGAGACTTATCCACTGGTCCACAACACCTTTACAAAATCTCCCCTTCGTGTTCTTCATCTCTCCATCTCCACTACCTTGTCTTCTTTTTCTCCTTCCTTCCCACCTTCAGGTGATCAAGCTGTGCAAGGTGCTCATATCAATAGAGAATGGAGACCGGACTAGACTTGTAGCTCAGTCACTAGATGATATCCCTCTCTTCAGAGACGAGGGTAAGTCTATGGATGAAGCAGCCAAAAATGCTTTAAAACTCCTGTTTGATGCAGTCTAAGCAAGCTTAGATGAGGTTTCAGATTTGCCGAATTAAGTGCAGTCTGTCAAAAATATTTGACTGCACTACTGGTAGCTTGTACTTGTGCCCTCTATATAGCAAACGATGCCTAATCGGTACTCGTTGGTCCCCCATGGTCTGCTTTTTCTTATGTTAATTGAGAGCTGATTTGATGAGGTAACCACCTGACGGTGACCACGCAGGGAGGTCTAATCCCTCTTGGCCAAACTAGTGCAGATAGGCTTTAATATTCCTCTGAAAATTGATAATTTTTATGCCTCCGCCACCGAAGGTGGTGCCGGAGGCATCATGTTTTCGGGTTGTCCGTCCGTACGTCCGTCCCGTTTGACCGTTATCACAATATCTCAAGAACCATTTAAGATTTAAACTTAAGACTCGGGAATAGTATTTATCACCATAGGAAGACGATCTGATTAGATTTTGGAGTACGTAGGTCAAAGGTCACAGGTCACAGAGGTCAACTTATAAAATTCCTTGTATTGAGTTTGTTAGCGCGATATCTCAAGAACCATTTGAGATTTAAACTTCAAACTTAAGGATAGTATGTATCACCATAGGAAGACGATCTGATTAGATTTTGGAGCACGTATGTCAAAGGTCAAGGGTCACAGAGGTCAACTTATGAAATTCCATACATTGAGATTGTTATCATGATATCTCAAGAACCACTGGAGATTTAAACTTCAAACTTAGTGATAGTGTGTATCACTATAGGAAAACAATCTGATTACATTTTGGAGCACGTAGGTCAAAGGTCAAGGGTCATAGAGGTCAACTTATGAAATTCCATACATTGAGATTGTTATCATGATATCTCAAGAACCACTGGAGATGTAAAAACTTCAAACTTAAGGATAGTATGTATCTCCATAGGAAGACGATCTGATTAGATTTTGGAGCACGTAGGTCAAAGGTCAAGGGTCACAGAGGTCAACTTATGAAATTCCATACATTGAGATTGTTATCATAATATCTCAAGAACCAATCAATGGATTCCTGCCAAACTTTGGTCATGTATGTAATTAACAGAGCCAATGAACTGATTAGATTTTGGGGTCGAAGGTCACAGGGCTCATGATGTATGCACAAATAGCTTGTGATCGCATTATCATGAGAACCAATAGACAGATTACTATCAAACTCAAGACATGTACATGTATCTTGCAGAGCCAATGAACTGATTAGATTTTAGGGTCATCAGGTCAAAGGTCATGGGGCTCATTATGTATGCCTATAAATAGCTTGTGAGTGCATTATCACTAAAACCGACAGATGGATTACAATCAAACTTGAATTTTTTAAATTGCTCTATGGCGGAGGCATCATTTTCGACTGCGCGCAGTCAAAATTCCATCTAGTTTTCCCTCTGGGGTTCATTCTGTAATTCCATTGTTTCCAAGAGCCCCTCTGTTTCACAACCTTTTTATTATCTTTCACATTGTTTTCTGTTGTACTGTGCTTTTTCGCTGAGCAGCAGTTTCACCTCGACGATAAATTCTATTATGGTAATAGCCATAAAGAATTATCCGCTAAGACCGCTATCCTGATGACGAAAATAGTCAACCTGTTCGAAATGTTGAGCCACTCCTACTACCCATCCTCTACAACAGGCGCTCTAGTTCTCTTTAGAACTATAAGCTCAAGAAAGATTACCAACAGTCCTTTCTCAGGACTACACACACTCTCAAGAAAGAAAGATTACCAACAGTCCTGTTCAAGACTCCCCAATCCTCCCCTCTTTCTCACATGGTGCAACCGTAAGCCTACTGTATATAAATTGAAAGTTATTATTATTATTATAATTATTATTATATATGATCCTTACAGAGATAACCGTTGAATATAACTTCATGGAAGACGGGATCCTGGAGACTCAGATTGGAATCTCTCCGGTTCCAAGCAGCAGAAGGCGTTCAGCAGCGTCACCGAAGAAAGCCCACAAAAAGAAGCATAAGACATCCTCATCAACAAACGCCACTAAATCAAGTAAGTGGGAACAAATGAAAACCAACAAAGAGATATTGCACATGGCAGGGCGTAAACAAATTGCACTGGGGGGGTGTTTCATAAAGCTGTTCGTAAAGTTACGCATGACTTTACGAACGACTTGTATATGAAGTGCCAGATAGGATGCCCACATTTTTTTCTGATATTTCCACTAACCTCAATTAAATTATGGCAAAAAATATTATTTGCATTAAAAATGTTTGTTATGATAAGAATGTTAATCTACATCTGCACAGTTCAACTTAATGAAAAATAATCTATAATGATGGAGCATCCGATTTGTCTTTTCATATACAAGTCGTTCGTAAAGTCATGCGTTACTTTACGAACAGCTTTATGAAACACCCCCCTGATATGATTAGTTATGGAGAGAAAAGTCAAATACTTTGGTCATGTTAAAAGGCACCAAAGCCTCTTAAAGGATGTATTTGAGGGAAGAGTGGAAGGAACTAGACCAAGAGGGAGACCCAGAATCAACTGGGAAGAGAATGTCAAGCACTGGAGTGGACTAAGACTGCAAGAGTGCACCAGAATGGCAGAAGATAGAGTGAAATGGAGAGATTTTGCAATCGACCTCCGAACCGGAGAATACTTAGATAGATAGAGGCAACGAGGTTCAACTACTTAATAAGGATTGCAGTAGTACATGTAGTACAGGGGTTCAACTTTGTGATGAAACAGGGGGTATTGATTTCATGTACAACATATAATGTTAAGTTGAGCAATAAATGTAAATCATCATAAGACTTCAAAATCCAACAGACCCAGTTGGTATCCGGTGTTTGCATCCTCAAACAAAGTAAGTGACAAAGGGGTTCATGTTTCTCAGAAGTTGGTTTCGGTCTGATCTGACCCCAACTTGGGCCTAAGAATAGAATATCATGATTTAGAACACACACGCACACTGAAAATTTATTTTTGTGACCTACGGTATTCTTATTATTTCTTTATTACAACTAAAACTTGAGGTTGGATTTCAGCTACGAATAAAAATATGAACAAATAGATAACAATAGTAGAAATAATATACACAACGTCAAAGAAACTGTTGAGCCTGATAAATAAATATGTGCTACAATCTAATTAAAACACATGATGAAATCAATGGAAGTAAGCTCGTGAGTACAACATTTCATAATTATTGTATATAACACGAGAATGAATCAGGGCGCGCATGTCCACAAATTGAGCAGTCTACAATGAAATTGATAATAACAATGGATAAAAGACTAATTGTTTGTTTTGAGATGACTAGTCACATTCTAAATATCAAGATCATTGATGAATGGAAATACAATGTGGCCCTCACTGTCAAGTGCTAAATCCGGGGACTCCTTTTGTTTGCTTCTCGATGCTGAGATGTATTTCTTTGTCAGGGATCCCAAAACTAAATTTAAACTCTTGCTTCATTTTATGATTTCTTTTCTTTCATTACAGCAGGCACCAAGAAGAGTCGATCCAAATCCTCGTCATCGTCTGACAGCCCGCGCAAGAAGCCTCAGAAGCGCCCTTGGACACCTGACGAGAAGGCTGCAGTCTTTGAGATGTTCCAACACGAGATCCTGCAGAACAAGCTCCCTGGTAAGGGTCCCATACAGCAGCTCTTGGCTCGACAGCCTGTCCTTTGCCATCGGACGTGGAGCAACGTCAAAGACTTCATTAGGAACTACCTTGTCACCAAGTCCAGGCAAGGGCTTTTGTAAAGGATCCCGTTCAGCCGCTCTTGTGCCATGGGACATAGAGCAACGTCAAAGACTTCATTAGGAACTACCTTGTCACCAAGTCCAGGCAAGGGCTTTTGTAAAGGATCCCGTTCAGCCGCTCTTGTGCCATGGGACATAGAGCAACGTCAAAGACTTCATTAGGAACTACCTTGTCAACCAAGTCCAGGCAAGGGCTTTTGTAATAGAACTGTTGATCTCTACCATCATATTTTGTTAAGAAAGCAGCCCTTTCAGCAGCAGTTTTCGGCCCAACAGCCTGTCCTATTTCCTTGGACCAGGAGCACTGTCCTTGGACCAGGAGCAATTTTTAGACTTCATCAAGAGTTACCTGGTCACCCAGTACTGGCAAGACCTTCAGTTGCAGATCTCTGAGTCTGCCCTGCACCGCTGAGCAAGGGTCTCATTCAGACACTCTTGTGCCAGAATGATTCTTTAACAATCTTTCCCTTTTCTGTTTCTGAACCTTCTCTTTAATCAGCAACAGTCAAAGAACTCTGATGAAGAGATGGTTAAAGGTGGTGTAGCATGACGAGACTACGTGTCGTTTCCTTGGCCTGACTCGGGGTCAATCGGGTAACGACTACGGACGACGCAATCGCGTGCATGCAACATATGCCAAACTGAGGTGTGAGGAGAACCATGTAGAGATTAAGTCGCTGACTACTGTTAATCAAGTCCATTCGTTTACGTGCAGTTGTCCAAAAGAAGACGTAGATGGCGTTAACCAGTATTTGCCAAGCTACACCCCCTTTAATACTTATTTATATTCTCCATTGTCTTCAATGGACCTTGTAGCCATACAGATACCACCTGCTGATCCGATCTACGGCACTTGTCTGACGAGCTATGTATTATATTGTGTATGTACCCATATGTTATCATGTGAACTCCCTACCTCTACGTGAAACCGTGATAGATTAGTCTAAATTTATTCTTTTTTAACGATTGTTTTGTGTCTTCATGTGTTTTTTTTTAGAACAAGAAGCAGATGTCTTTTGAGCAGTGTTACATTAGGTTGGGTGCGTTCCCACGATGATATTTTTCTTGCCTGTAACTCTTATTGTGGTGCGCGTCCCCTATTGCGCTTGGCCGCATAAGGACCTTGTGTGTCTAAGCAAGGACTCGTGCATGTAAACCCAAGCCATTGTTGTTGTATGTGATGCAATATGAAGAACAATGGGAATACTGCTTTGAGGTTAAAAAAATAATCATTCGCTGAGAATTTTGAGAATTATGTGTACTTGACATTTCAAATACGATTTATGATTTTACTTGTGAATTAATTGTGTACAAATTACGAGAGTGCATACACCGGTATAATGTGTACATGTACTACAGTATTGTAAAATGACAATGTATATACATTTTTGTGAAAATGGCTAATCGTGTACAAAGAGGAAGATGTAAATATGTTATGTGTATTACATAAGGCTGTGAGGACATGTCGGTCCTAGTAGAGAGCGCATTGAAGAGGGGCGTGTTTACACTGTGCTGATTGCTTGCAGGGAGGTTGTTGATAATAATAATAATAATAATAATAATAATAATATTCCGCTTTTATATATCGACCAATACATTGATACAAAGATGTGTCTAAGCGCTTTACAGATTACCCCGGTCTCATCGGATTCAGGCTTGCCCGCACACAATTTATGCACATCCGGCTAGTCGCCATTTTACAAGCGTACACTTGCTCATGCAACCACATTAACTTTCGCATTTTACCTGGTACCCATTTAACACCTGGGTGGAGAGTGGCAAACGTAGATTAACGTCTTGCCAAAGGACATAAGTGCCGCGGCGGGATGGACTCAAACCCTGTACCTTGTGACTTATCCAATAGACCACTAGGCAAAGTAGTAAATGGGTTATATATTTTCAACTAGTGATTTTAGGTTGGAGTACTAAAAGTCCATTCGCTTGTATTTCAGAGTGAACCATTATTCTGAAGGGGTTTCCAATTGAGAAGGTATGATGTTTGGGGGAGGGGTGGGTCAACTAAAAAAAGTCCAGCAAATATGTAGACCTATACAAGCCTCATTTTTTCAGTATACAACTTACAAGTGTCATTGATGTACATTTTAGGAGTAGATTGTCCTAGTCTGTACAGATTACGGATTTTGAATAATGTTTGAGTCGTGTCAGACTTTCTAGCAATTAAAAGTAACATTTGTAGTTCTACTTCATACAAATAATGGAAAGAAATTCGCTCTAAAGGTACCCCACGTTACGGACCCTTTAGCTTTCATGGAAATCACTCCGGACCGTCAAGGGAAAAGTTTCGAGAACCCCGCCCTATGAGCTGTTTGCAAAATGTACTTTTCTTCACACTCTGTACTAGTCTGTAATAATAATAATAATAATATTCAGTTCTTGTATAGCGCATATCACATATAACGTCCCTATGCGCTTCCAAAGAGCTTTGGAAATTATGACCCTAGCTTTAGCTCCGGCAGCCTGTACCAGTGCACAGTGCTTTTCAAGGAATAATCCTACCAGATACCCATTTACCTCACCTGGGTTGAGTGTGGCAAATGCAGATTAATGTCTTGCCAAAGGACATTGGTGCCGTGGCGGGACTCGAACCCCGGGCCTTGTGATCCACAGTCCGGTGACATATCCACTCGACCACGACACCTCTACCTCTGTAGCCAGGAAACATGTACACCAGGGGGGTGTTTCACAAACCTTGTCATCAGTGACAAACGATAGTTGTTGTTTTAAGCTACTGAAATCCTTGCTTCTGATTGGTTATCAGCAGATTTGTCACTGATATTTGTCATTTGTCATTGTAAAAAGGCTTTGTGAAACGGGTCCCAGGGGTTATATTGGATAACCTTGGGCACCTCACATGGTGGATATGTGCACTTTAAAAAGATCCAATATTATCATTGCAATCGCCAAGCTTTCAGGTACAGTATAAACACGCCCTGTGCAGATATTTTTTTGTTTTTTTGTTTTTTATCTTTGTCAATACCGTAGTACTATCCAATTCAATCCTTCTTGAGGATGATGGAATATTTTCATTGTGACATCATTATTCTCATTGTGACATCATAATTCTAATGGAGAAATGGATCAAGATGCTGATTTTCATTTCATCTGTATTCAAATTTTTGTATATGTATCTCGTGCCAAGCGTTTTACCCATGTCACATCAACAAATTTGGCTCCAGAACGGCGACAGACTGAACTGAATATTTTATTAAGTACTCCGAACGGCCAATAATCGCTCAGAGTTTGGAGTCTGTGTGACTGAGGTATTCGACTGACTTTAATTGGGCCAAATAGACTGAAATTAGTTAGCTTTTCTTTGAAATTATCAGTGATACAAGGATATCATATAAGGTTTTTAGAAAAGTTGTATTCTGCAATCGAATACAAGAGAGGAAAAAGTACTTTTTAATTAAACTGAAACTGAGAGTGAATTACGTTTTTACTTCCCATTTTCTCTCAATATATATCAAGTCATTTTTTTTTATCAGTGACTGTGATTGGGCCAATGAGTTGATAGCGTTAATATTTATAATGATTGATAAATGATTGGAGTTTTTAAGAAAATATAATTTGCAATGGTATGGAAGAGAAGAGAGCAGATTTTTGTTTACTTTGAAAGTTATATGGAGAACCTTTTTCACAAGGTCTATTTCATGGTCGCCCCAATGGTCTCCAAGCTGTGGAACATACATAAGTAGATGGATAGAGATGTGATATCTTCTATAATAATAATAATAACAATAATAATAATAATAATAATAATAATAATAATAATAATAATAAAAAGGGTTTCTTCTATAGGGGGGGGGGGGGGTGATAAAACCACATGTTTTCCTCATAAAAAATAAATTGCCATTGTATTCATACTATTCACCATGGATCAAACCGAATATTTCAAGTTGGAAGTTTAGACACAATTTTGTTGATGAAGTATTAATATTATTACAAATTACCCAAAACATGTTTACCATTGACGGGTATTTTTGCATGTTTTTTGAATTCGCAAGTCAATGAGTGATTTGCAAAATCTGCTAAGTATACCCCCCCCCCCCCAACCCAGGAAAATAACTGCTTTTTACGTTTAATGTTTCATAGATACAGATTGTGTGAAAAAGGTGGACTAGAACAACCCATTGAGTGTCTCGCAAGTCGACCAAAGTGAGAAAGAGTTAATTCACCTCACAAGAAAATACACAAGTCATAGAATAGTACTTTCATTCGATCATGTTACAGTGCAACAATCATTGCAGGTTTTAAGGCTCATTTATTATTTCATTTCTAGAACCTGACTGTCCATTGATTTTATTTCATTTGAATTTTAAACTATTTATAATCATGTAAATACTATTTCAGTGTCCTTATTTCTCATTTTGTTGGCAATATGTGAGTAGTTTTTAGACTAGCTAGCACGCCTTTACAGGCCTGTAGAACGTGATAGTCCCATATGTACATTGTATTTGTAGGTAAAATAGAATTGTGTTCTTCTGTTGCTGTCCAATGTGTTTATGTATTTCTTCATTATGCTATTTTGCCAAGTGTATACGGTACAATAAAACGACACGTTTAAACCAGGCTCAATCGTTTCTTGGGAAATCATTGTACATGTACTGGGTTACACAATGGAAGCTTATTATAAAGTGCTCAGATATCACGAGGTATCTGTTATAACAAGGTGATTTTGATGGTCCCAGCTTTTTATATTCTTTTGTTTTTTTAACTCTCATATAACAAGATTCCTGATATAACATGGTAATTTCCATGGTCCCAAGAACCTTGTTATAATGAGATTCCACTGTATACAGTCGAATCAGCTTCACTGACCACCTTTCTATAAAGACCACATTGTTTGTTTCCATTGAATACTGATATAGGTTTTCATTGTAACATGTACTAAAGGAACCTGTACATAAAGACCACCTGCCTATATAGAGAGCACTTTTCATGTTTCCCTTGAGCGGCCTTTATCTACAGGTTTCACCACGATTTAAGGGCAAAACCACTCTCATATTTAGCTTTCAATTTTAATTTTAATTTAGTTCTATTTTAATAAAAAGCAGAAAATGAGAGAAGCGGATCAGTGAAAGTTTGCTCAAAAATACAATGAAAAATAAGAAAGCTTTAATGTGTTGAAGTTGTATTTCAATTTTAATTTCCTTATTTGCTAAGGAATGTATGATTTGATGTTTCTTTGTAGAGTAGAAGAAATTTCAAATTTCTTGAGTGCAATATTTGAAAGGAGCTCGCAAGATACCTCACAGAATTGCCAGTTGGGACTTGATTGATCATAACTTCCTCATTTAAAAAAAAAAATCAGATTTTGCCAAAACTTTCACTGATCTGTTCCTCTAAATTTTCTGCTTTCATTGAAACCAATAATAATAATAGGCATTTCTATAGCGCCGTCTATCTAGATAATTCTATTCTGAGGTGCATTTATTATTACCCCGGCTTTAGCCTAGCTGCTGTATATACAGCGCTCCAGCATTTCAAGGAATTAATTCCTGCCAGGTACCCATTTACATCACCTGGGTTGAGTGTGGCAAATGTAGATCAATGTCTTACCAAAGGACATTAGTGATGCGGCGGGACTCGAACCGATAATGATAATAAAAAACAGTGCTTATAAATCGCTTTCCATCGAAGTCTTGAAGCGCTATAACCAACTTAATTCAGAACAGGGTTGACTTTCCTGACTAGGAAAATGTCTCACTAGCTGTTTGTTAATTTATTAAAGAGAAAGTTAAGTTCTGGGATAGGTGAACAAATTTTGTGAGCTTTATCATTATTTTCATGTTAGGATCAAAGAGTTTCACAGAAAAAAATGTCTCCTAAAAAAGATGGCTCTTCAAACGCCCTCATATTTAGAATATGACAAGTAACAGCTAAAGGTTGTGGAATGTAACTTTCATGCCACATATATGTTTGTGTAGTATACAAATTTCTGTGTGTAGTGCATGCGACTCTTAGCAAACTGAGCCAATTTCTTCTCATTTTGATGTTTCAAAAACCTCACCATTAATTTACTTCTGTACCCACATGCTACATGATCAACCTTTTTGACAGACAGTCTTTATTTCCACATTAATTGCACTTGGATGACCAGAACTCAACTTTACCTTTAAATTCAGTCGAAAGTACTTCAGGTCAGATGTCATTTCTAATTTACTCTCTAATCCTTAATTGTATGGGCATACTGTGTATGGTCTGATGTCATTGATATATAGAAAGAGAGAAATGGCACAGGAGTGAAAGAGAGAGAGAGAGAGAGAGAGAGAGAGAGAGGAAGATAAAGGGCGAGGGAGAGAGAGAGATAGAGGATCAAGAAATAACAGCTACCCATCATGGGGGGGGGGGGGGGGGGGGTGATCGAGCGATTCATGAAGGGAATGAGAGAGAGAGAGAGGAAAACATGGGAAAGGGATAACAGCTACCCATTTGGGGGGGGGGGGGGGTGATCGAGCGATTCATGAAGGGGAATGAAATTAGAGAAAGGGGGAGAGAGAGAGAGATTGGGGGGGGGGGGGGGGGGGGGGGAGCTACCGGGAAGAAAGAAGGTGTGTGAATGAGTCATGTGGAAGGGGGGGGGGGGGGTGTACACATATAATCTACATGCTGAGCTAATTAGAGCGTGTCACTAGCCTCGTATCACATGCGCTTCGAGGGGGGCGTGGCTACGTAAAGCAACACCTCATTGGCCATGAATGCAAGTTGCACTGCAAAGAAGAACCACCAACGCTGATTAATTGTGTATTCTACTTCCGCAAACACACAAACAACCACCAAGGCCAAAGCCCCCGGTCAAAAGGTCTTCCATAGCAGAATATTTCCTACATTTGCAGTATTTAATTGGTAAGTAAAACATTGTCTAATTACAGAGGTTAGCAGTTGAAATATGGGTTGGAATATGTGTGCAGTAGCGTAGATATCGACCAGTAGTACCATGTGTGTGTGAAACTAGGAGTAGATCTAAATTGGATTGCAGTGGAATAATTACTTATGGCTGGGTGGGATAGCTTAGTTTGACCGGGAGAGTTTCGGCCAGTGTGCCGGTGAGTTCCTGTACTGTGCTGCTTTTGCTAGGGATTGTGAAATTGTTTTCATTAAGGCTTTAGGCATACCGGTAACCCATATACTTTATTTTTCTATTTTGATGCTACAAGTCTATCATATTATGTTTATCCTTCAAATCATATTCAGTGAAGCTATGCGCGTATTCCCTGTCCATATTCCAAAATGAATTATTTTTTAGGTCTATTCTAGACTCATCTCTATATTGATCAGATGATGATGTAGACCGAAAGTTTCAGTATCTGATATATCGATGATTATTATTATAATTGTTCCGCTGAGATTACATCTGGCTCCTCTGACCGCCTCTATGAAAGACAAGTAAGACTTAAGTATTAAGCAGACAGCAAAGCTATCTGCATTCCATGTTAGGATTGATATCTGCAAATTATGACACGATCACATGCAGTGAATTTTATTAAGGCGGGCATTATAGGACTACGTCTTAAATAAGAGGCCTTGAAGACAGGTAACTACAGGTAACTATAGGGTCTATATAGAGTCGGAGATTAGAGGCAGTCATGCATGATCAAAGGAGCCTGATTTGTGTATGGGGAAGGTTGGCAAATGTCAATTTTATTAAACGACAGAATGAACCGTACCAGACGGTTATTTCTGTCTAATGATGATGATGGGGGCGTGGCGTAGTGAGAATGTGCCCACCATAAAAAATACAAAAAGAAAATATACGTTATATTGAGACAGAGAAGAAAGAAGAAGAAAGAAAAAAAAGGGGGAGGGGGAACTGAACACCCACCACACACAAAAAAAAAGTTGGAAGTTCAAGGGGAATTAACCTCAAACTACAGGCTAATTTCAGTTTGTAGGCCATTTAAAACATCTGAAAAATAAAAACATCATACATTTGGACGTGAGTCTTCCTCAGAATCCTTCGTTTCTTGAGGCTCTGAGAATTTTCAGAACGTCACAATTGTGTTTGCGCACGGCCCGTTCTGTGATGTATTGCCTGGATTTGACTAATCCAAGAAACTGTCAAAACAAGTCTCATTTTTCTCTTGCCTTTGACAGGTTTCTGAACACATCTTGTAATTGGTGGATCGAGCTCTCAAGGTCATCACCATGGAAACAGAAGATATCGACAAAGTCTACAAGGGCCTCTACGCTGAGAAGGCCATGCCCTTCCGGCATTTCATGCTAGGATACGACGGCGGTCTGGACCCCGTGACCCTACAAAGTGCAGGCATTGATTTTGTGGATATCAAATACAAGATGCTTGAAAAAGGCACCAAGGTCTACACCTTGAATCCTGGGAACGCTGAACCAATCTGTGTGTATTCGTTGAACCTTGCGACACTCCAAACTATTTTGGCCGAGAGCTCCTCAAATAGTGAAGATTCATGTGATGGCATGGCACGTGTCGGTGTCTATGAGCTGACAACAGATTATGTCTACACCATGCAGATTCGCGAAGACATTGCTATTGAGCTCTGCATGATGTGGACAAAGTCCAAGAACAAGGATGAGGTGCAGGAAGAGACGGATGCCAAGGACTATCGAAAGCTGCTCCAAAGCAGGAATCCAAACTTTAAGAATTTCTTGGACCTATGCTTCACGAAGCATTACTGTCCCCAAAATATTCAGGCAGTTGTGTACACAAGGCAGAGCAGTACGTATGGAGTTCTCGCCACGGCTAGAGCCGTCGGTGATGACTTCATCAACAATCGGACGATGGTTCAAGAAGTGGTCCTTCCGAAGAGCTCAATCAGCAAGCTAACGGTGGATCGGGAGGGGTACCTGAGACTTGGTGCTTCCACCAGGGAACCAACCGACGTCGCGGTTGACAGTGTATACGCAGAGGTGAAAGAGAATGAGGTGTTTGAAGACAAGTTGAATGCAGCAGAGGTGGTGCCGTCCTACGACGACAACTTACCGACTGCTGAGGAGTATAACGACTACAAGCCCGGAGATCAATCGCTTGACTATGAAGCCATCGACATCAGACCGTTGCCACAGGCAGCGTCTCCCGTCTCGAGCCCTCGACCCGATCAGCCACCGCCGGCTCCTCCCGGTGCAGAGCCCGTTTACGGTATCATCGATAAGTCCACCAAGAAACCTAAAGGCCGTTCGAAGAGCTTTGATCAGCCCGACACCCCGGGGACGCCGACGGGGAACAAGCCGCCACGCCCGCCCCCGTTAGACACCATGCCGAATAGCGATGGGGAATCCCCTGCTCAGAGCACCCCGAGTCATAGGCCATCACGACCGTCTGCTCCGCCGAGGGTCCAACGCAGTAAGACGCAGGATGCAGGAATGGGTAGCTCAGGGAACGTATCCTTAGATGGGAAAGACGATTCCGTCGTAGCTCCGCCTCGCAGCAGTGTAAAGGCCAAAGGTCACCTGAAATCTGAAACCAGTACGCGTTTTTGATGTGAGTAATAACATGTGTGTTGTTGCATAGATCTGTAAAGACCACCTTATCCCATATTTTCTCCTATTCAAAAGAAATTAGACCAAGATCTTAGAAAACGTATAAATGGACCAGTTGACTAATTTTATGCATCCAGAATGAAGAAAGTTTTCACTTGCCAACTCAAAAGTGTACCAGTGGCTTGCCAGATATAGCAACGACTAATGTACATGAGGTGGATTCAATCTACAGAGATGACTTCATTAATGTACACTGTATCTGGTACGTAACCAGATGTTCTGGAGAGAAGCATGCATATTGTTTAGTACATGAGTAAACAGGGCCCTACATGTATCTTTAATATAAAGAGTTGGGATTGATCAAAGTCAATCGCAAGTCTTCCCGTCAAACGAGAGATTGCAGTCTTCGATCTCTCATGTTCATAGTTGGAATTGATATCAATCCTAAATAATTTGAGAAAGAAATCCCAAATAAGTTGCAATTAATATCAACTCTTTATAAGTTGGGGCCCTAGGGGGTGTTTCACAAAGATCCTAAGTATAATGCACCTTTAAAGTACACAACCTTTTTTTAATTCAATGATGACCAGGGTAATATTTTAAATCCTGTATATGAACTTTAATAATAACTAGCAATTAAGGCACAAGTCTTGTTTTAATGTGGTTATAATATATTTATCTATGAACATGTACATACATGCAATCACAATCAATTTGATATCTCTCAAAAGGGAAGTTTGCTTTCAGGCATTTTTTATTTGTTTGGCCTTATGTTTTGATGCTGGTATGAAGGTACAGGTACATACATGTATGAAGGTACTTTACAGTAATATTCCATGTTGAAGTGTCTTGGTCTAGTGGATAAGTCTCCAGACTGTGAACCACAATTAAGACACGGGTTTCCGTCAAATTCCGCTGCAGCACTAATGTCCATACCATAGGTAAGACATTCATTTTCGAGCCAGGTGAAATACAGTGTAGTGGATACCTGGTAGGACTCATTCCTTGAATGCACTGAGCGGCACGGTTGCTGGAGCTAAAGCAAGGATAATAATTCCAAAGTCCTTTATGCTAATTTCACACCGACGCCGAATTGATGGCGAATAAAATCTGCGAGCAAAGCGGCGGCAAAGCGTAACAAAGCTTAATTAAAGCGTAAAGACCGTAATAGAGCGTGAGAAAGCTTTGAGCAATTCGGGACATTCGGCAAGAGCGCCAAAATTTTTTAAACTGTTTAAAAATTTTAGGCGATCTGTCACGAATTGCGTAAAGCGGGGAGAGCGTATTAAAGTTTATCAAAGCATCACAAAGCTTATCAAAGTTTTGCTCAAAGCGTAGGAAAGCTTAACAGAGTTTAACAGAGCTTGGTTCAAAGCGGTGACCCCACTTTGTACGCTCTGCAACCAATTGACACGCTTCAGAGCTTATCAGAGCATAACATATCTGAGGAGATCGTGAGATTTTTTGAAAAGTAAACAAAAATGACGCTGAATTGATCGCCGATTTAAAGCGCGACATTCGGCGTCGGTGTGAACTGTGCATTAGAAGAGTATCTACATAGGCGTCATGTCATAATGTGATAGCGCTATTAAAACAAGAACGACGTATTGTTATTATAATGTAAACTTTGTTCATATACCTCTACATGTACATGCATGTTTGATCTTCCTCAATATTGCTATCAAATAGTATCTCTTGTTCTGCAAACATGAATTCTGTCTTTGCAAACAGTAATGTTAGATTAAATTCTTTAGAAGGGGATTTGATCTCTTTATCTTACAATGAATGCTTGTTTTAGTTCAAATGTTGACATGATGCTGAGATATGCTCAGATACTTTGCAAAGCTATGAGTAATTGAAATAACTTCTCCATTAAAGGGATTTGGTATTTTTGTCTCAGATTCTGAAACAAAATCCTGGATTTAGCTCATGCTGCTATGAACATTATAAACCTTTAGGTCAGTCAGGAACCCATGACTTTTACAAGCCGATCGCCTGTCTGATTATCAAGATATTTGTGATTGGAAATCAAAATCAAATTTTGTGTTTTCCTAACAGTTTTTATAATACGTACATTCTATTGGGGAAAATGAGTACATGGTTGAACAGGTCACTCAAAGATTTTGAGGCACTTAATGATCAGTTTGAAGCGCAATTTTGTTTGTGCTGCAAAATATCACGGACACTGATTTAAGATGTACATGTAGGGCCATGCATCTCAGATTTAGCATTGTTAAACGATGACTTTAAGGCAATAGTTTGACAGCTAGGTGATCAGACTTTAATAATCTAGCTCCAGAGCATATCTGCAGACATGTTCAGCTTTGTTTCAAAGTGCAGACAATTTAATACGGTTAATGCATGTAATGTTACCATTCTTATCAGAAGGGGTTTTCCCTAGATTTTCATACCACATGATCAAGTCTAAACCTGAGATGTATCAAAGTGGTTTTTATGATTGATTTGAAACTGATAGCATAAGCCATGTTCATATTGGACCATTGTACATGTAATTTAAACTTTAAGTTTGCATCAGTTCAAATTTAAAATAAATAATCCACAAACAGTGATGATAGCTCGCACAGGACCGGAACAACAAGTATTCAAAGTTTAAAACTAATCCTAATCCTAATTCTAATCATAATCATAATCATAGTCATAATCATTATCATAATCATAATAATCATCATATTCCTAATAATAATCATAATGAATAATCACAGTCATAATCATAATCATCATAATCATAGTCATAGTCATAATCATAATCTTAATCATAATCCTAGTCATAGTCATAATCATAATAATCATAATGATATTTATATAGTGCATATATCACAAATATGTCTCTTTATCCTGCATTACGGAGAGAGGGAAAGAGGCAGAAAAGAGAAGAGTGAGATGTGCTCAGAATACTTCCTTTTGTCATTTTAAGGAGCACTTGAAGACGTATTTATAAAACTAATTTTCCCACCGTCATACCTTGTGAAGCGCTGTGAACCCAATTGTGTGAGAGCACTAGATAAATGTGTATATTATTATTATCATTGGTGGAAATTGTTAAAGTTTCAAGAGGTGTTTCAAAGTGGTCAACATTATCAAACTACAAGTGTTCAAAAGTATTCACTTTTAATTGCCAGCTGATGTACATGTAGTATCAAAGTTAAATGTGTGTGTAGTTTTACAGTATGTTACTTTTAGCTCAGTTCAATTCATGCAGTCTTTATGCAGTCTTCAGCTTAAAAAACGTGCAGAACATAAAGCATTTCAAAGTAAAATACAATGACACAAAAATAAGAAGAGTGCAAGGGTCATCATTTAAAGCCTATTGAGGGTTGACAGGTTGATGGTCCCAAGAATTGGCAAGTTATAACATTACTTTTGGTGGAGTACAGGGAATAATTTTCCTCAAATTTTTTGATTAGCAATTTCAGCCGATGGATAAATATTTCAAATGAAATTCTGTACATTTCTATGGAAGAAAACTGCTACACAAAAGATATTTTGTATAGCAGTCATGCAAAAATGCATAGCAAATTGAGATGCGATACCAGGAAAATTATTCCCTGGAGTAGAGAAATAAGGTAGAACAAAGGTGTTGGGGGTATTGAATGAAAAAACTAATTTAAAACAGCTGATAACCTATTCATAAAAAGATCATTCAAGCTTTCTTTCAATGAATTTAAGAACAGGATTTCTCTTAACTACCGGTATGAATGAGGATTTCCTGCTGCTCGTAGCTATCGCGCTAACCATGACATCCCTCGTGGTTTAAAACTTCAAGTAAACTTGAAAGATTTGTAACTACAAGATATCCTTGAAGTTTTGAAGCTAAATTTTAAGTTTATAGACTTCAGTGTGAACTTATCTATCGATATTGAGTTACCCATCAAAAGCAATGCAAACACCCTGCCAATAATATATTTCAATTATTGCACCATCGATTCCTATTTCCTGTTCATGTTTAGCAATAGCTGATAGCAGAACTATCTGAGATAGATAATTTAGGGTGCTCTCTCGTTTCATAAAACTTTTTATCTATAACAACTGCTACATTTTTATGACAAATTTGCTCTCAGCCAATCAGTTGCCATGATTTCAGTAGCTTATAACAGTAGCTTGTAACTTGTTATTGATATCAAGTTTTATGAAACTACTGCATTGTCAAAGTCCCATAATACAGGGACCACCAGGTTCTCGCAGGTAAGAAAGACCAGCATATTTTGTTATAAGGTGACCTTGTGCATTTTATTTGTAGGTCAAAGGTTAAATAATGAATTTTACAATCGGAGAACGTGCATGATTACATCTACCCAGCATCTATATATTATCTATCCACTCAAGGGTGTGTTTCAATATTCTCCTCTTTATTTCCTCTCTCTCTGTCTCTCTCTCTCTCTCTCTGTTTTGATGGTTGTAAATTCACCCACTTCAAATTTTTGCAAGTGAAACTTTCTTGACATCTATCCTTTTGTAAGCATTTTAATCATTTTTCCAAATCTCTTCATGTAAAGCAATAATTCCTATGAATCAATATTCTCCCTCTCTTTCTCTATGTCTCCCTTTTCCCTCTCTTTCTCTGTCACTCCCTAGCACCCTCTAGAGTCCTCACTCCTGCTCTCTCCCTCCCTCCCTCACACTCTCTCTTCCACTCTCTTTCTCCCTCCTTCCCAGTTCCCACCCTCTTCTTCTTCTCTCTCTCTCTCTCTCCCTTCTTTTCTCCCTCTCTCCCCCTCTCTCTTGTCTCCTTCCCTCCCCCTCTCTCTTTTCTCCTTCCCTCCCCCTCTCTCTTTTCTCCTTCCCTCCCCCTCTCTCTTTTCTCCTTCCCTCCCCCTCTCCCTTTTCCCTCTCTCTCTCTCTGTCACTCCTTAGTCCTGCTCTCTCCCTCCCTCCCTCCCTCACACTCTCTCTTCCACTCTCTTTCTCCCTCCTTCCCAGTTCCCACCCTCTTCTTCTTCTCTCTCTCTCCCCTCTCTCTTTTCTCCCTCCCTCCCCCTCTCTCTTTTCTCCTTCCCTCCCCCTCTCTCTTTTCTCCTTCCCTCCCCCTCTCTCTTTTCTCCTTCCCTCCCCCTCTCTCTTTTCTCCTTCCCTCCCCTCTCTCTTTTCTCCCTCCCTTCCCCTCTCTCTTTTCTCCCTCCCTCCCCCTCTCTTTTCTCCTTCCCTCCCCCTCTCTCTTTTCTCCTTCCCTCCCCTCTCTCTCCCTCCCTCCTACCCTCTCTCTCTTTCTCCCTCCCTCACTCTCTTTCTTCCTCCCTCCCACCCTCTTTGTAAATCTATTCTAGTCAAGTTTACACTGATGAAACATTTGCCTCCCCTGTCTTATTCTAAATGTAACCATACACTCTAAAAACAGAAATGTTAAATCACCATTTAAAAGGGCCGAGGAGTGACCACTCTTTCAAAATGGTAGATTAACACTGTGAACACGCTCCCTCCTTCCCAGTTCCCACCCTCTTCTTCTTCTCTCTCTCTCCCCCTCTCTCTTTTCTCCCTCCCTCCCCCTCTCTCTTTTCTCCTTCCCTCCCCCTCTCTCTTTTCTCCTTCCCTCCCCCTCTCTCTTTTCTCCTTCCCTCCCCCTCTCTCTTTTCTCCTTCCCTCCCCTCTCTCTTTTCTCCCTCCCTTCCCCTCTCTCTTTTCTCCTTCCCTCCCCCTCTCTTTTCTCCTTCCCTCCCCCTCTCTCTTTTCTCCTTCCCTCCCCTCTCTCTTTTCTCCCTCCCTTCCCCTCTCTCTTTTCTCCCTCCCTCCCCCTCTCTTTTCTCCTTCCCTCCCCCTCTCTCTTTTCTCCTTCCCTCCCCTCTCTCTCCCTCCCTCCTACCCTCTCTCTCTTTCTCCCTCCCTCACTCTCTTTCTTCCTCCCTCCCACCCTCTTTGTAAATCTATTCTAGTCAAGTTTACACTGATGAAACATTTGCCTCCCCTGTCTTATTCTAAATGTAACCATACACTCTAAAAACAGAAATGTTAAATCACCATTTAAAAGGGCCGAGGAGTGACCACTCTTTCAAAATGGTAGATTAACACTGTGAACACGCTGGATCCAACACTATAAAGGTTGAATCTAGCAGGCTAAAAGAAACAATCTGACATTTTGAAAGAGTGGTCACTCCTCGGCCCTTTTAAATGGACATTTAACATTTCAGTTTTTAGAGTGTACATACAACTTCCACCATCTCATGAAGGCATGTATTGCAATATGAGAGTCTGTATAATTGTACTTACTTCCTTCATTTCCTGCCTTCACATCTCTGTTTCAAAAGAACTTAAAGAGAAAGTCCACCCTGATATTAAGTTGTTTCTAAGTTGGTTCTCATATAGAAGCAGAAAAATGAGACGTACAGGACGGTGAAAGTTTGAGCAAAAAACGATGAAAATATGGAAGTTATCAATGGTTGAAGTTGCGATCAATCACACACATATTGGCAACTCTGTGACATATCTTGCATGGTACCCTTCTGTTCACTCTACTAAAAATGTTCAGAGATATTTATTTTCCTTATAGAAAAGTTTCAATCATACATGCACCCTGAATATAATGATTGCAAATACTGGTATATGTTTCTATACAACCCCTGCATGAAACAATTTATTCCGTCATCAATAACTGAGAAAATGAAAGCTCTTGAAATTTTCTGTACTGAGTAAATTTGCCAGGTCCTCACAAGACACATTACAGTGTTGCCATTTTGTGTTCAATTGATTGCAACTTCAACAATTCTTAACTTTATTATTTTTAATTGATATTGCTGAAACTTTCACTACTTTAATAATAATAATAATAACAGTGTACACTGCAAAAACAGTGGTGTTAAATTCAACACCATAGGTGTTAATATTAACACCATTCCGGTATCTATATCGGAAAACACCAGTTGGTGTTATTTAACACCAAGGTCTGGATTTGAATGATTCAATTCTACTCTTGGTGTTGCAATTCAATTCTATTTTTGGTGTTAATATAAAATCCTACACCATTTTCTGGTGTAACAATGAATCTGATTTCTGGTGTTATTTAACACCACCGCCTGGAATGAAATAATTTTAATTCTACTCTTGGTGTTGCACTTCAATTCTATTGTTGGTGTTATTTTACACCAATTCTAGAATTAAATAGTATAATTCTGCTCTTGGTGTTGCAATCCAATTCTATTTATGGTGTTAATATAAAATCCAGCACCATTCTTCGGTGTTGCAATAAATCCTATTTTTGGTGTTATATAACACTAAAGGTCTACTACTTTTCTACTCTTGGTATTGCAATTCAATGCTAGTCTCAGTGTTTAAAAAACTCAACACACCATTCTTTCAACACCAACAATTCATTCCAGCTCACTCCATCTTAACACATGCACAGAAAATATTCAAATACACACAAGAAGTGAAAAGAAACAATTTTTTTTCGTAAACAAAAACACATGGTGCTTGTTTAATCAATAAATTAAACAACTTGTTTTCATTCATGTTGAAATCAATGATGCTTAGCGTTTTTATCTTGTATGGTTCAACATTAAATCCTTTTGTCATGTATTCAAAATCTGTGACTCATTTGTCTGAATACAACAAAACACACTTTTTTAAATCATTCAAAATCTGTTATTATGAATCCACCCTTATAAGTAAAAAAAAAAGGATGAAACAAGTAACTAAAAATCATTCAAAATCTGTTATTATGAATCCACCCTTATAAGTAAAAAAAAAAAAGGATGAAACAAGTAACTAAAAATTTTCCAATATAAAAACTTTAAACAATGTCATAATTCCTTTCAAGGAATGAAAAATCAAAGTCGTTTCTAATAAATAGAAACTAAACAGGATGCAAAATGCATGTATAAATGAAGACAAAACAAAAAAAACAACAAACATTATGCTTCTACATCAGAGTGAATTATGTAGCTAATAAGAATTTTGACACATTTCACCTTGAATCCTAGTACATGCATGCTGAAGGAAAATATCACAGAATCTTTTTCATATGAAATATACAGAGTGCCCCCCCCCAAAAAAAAACAACCTTGGAAACTGCTAGTATAATCTGCAGGCAGACTCTCGGCTTCGGTTTTTCGCAAGTTTCGTAGTGCATATTTCAGAGTCTGCAGTCAGAGACTACTTTCACTCATATCATGATCCCTTAAAGGGAGCATAACTGTATGTGTATACATTGTATGTAGTCTCTAAATGCAGACTCTACATCGTGCACTATGCAAATTGCAAAACCGAAGCCAATGGTCTGTTCCCGCAGACTAATTATAGTATGACTTTAATTTCTTATGCTAGAACAATAGCAACACTAACAAATCTCATCCAGCAGTTTTGTTGAACAAGATTTTTTTTACCACAGGCCTGCAACCATTGAGATTCAGGATGATTTAATTATTTCAGGGGATTTTTATCTCCTAGCTTCACTGCTTGTAAAGGGTTAAACAAATGTTTCAAAAACATTGAAAAAACACTATAAATTCTACATTCATTCTAATATAGGTGAACATTCTTTTACAGCTTTCTGTTTACAAACATATTCCATTTTACATCGTGCACTATGCAAATTGCAAAACCGAAGCCAATGGTCTGTGCTCGCAGACTAATTATAGTAAGGCTTTTTAATGTCTTATGCTAGGAAGCAGCCTTCAAGAACAATAGCAAAACTAACAAATCTTATCCAGCAGTTTTGTTTAACAAGATTTTTTTTTACCACAGGCCTGCAACCATTGAGATTCAGGATGATTTAATTATTTCAGGGGATTTTTATCTCCTTCACTGCTTGTAAAGGGTTAAACAAATGTTTCAAAAACATTAAAAAAACACTATAAATTCCACATTCATTCTAATATAGGTGAACATTCTTTTACAGCTTTCTGTTTACAAACATGTATTTCCCATTTTACTCCTGGGAGAAAAAATCAAAAAGTAAAATTATGCATTTCTATATCAACTAATTCGCTGCTCGTTTTTCCAACAGGATATAAACAACAACAACAAAAATCAGTCCATGCACTTCTAGTTCACTGGCTTTCATGCACAAACATCATAGAATTGTTTTTCTTGTAAGAAAAAAAAAGAAAATATACAACAGCTATTTGACTTCAATTTGGTTTCGAATTAACCAATTTAAAGATGTTAACAATTAAGAGTCCAAAATATTATTGATCAAAATTATTTTTAAAACCAATTGATACCACTAAGCAAAACCAGACATTAGCTTGAAAGCTTTAAATTACTTAAAAAGTACATGCCTTGGTGCTACATACTTCCTCGAGTCTGTCTTCGACAAAGTTGTCATCAAATCTAGTGGTTTGTAGTCAACAAGTTCCTTTTGATTCTTCACTACATGACAACGTGGAAAACTAAATTCTACTGCATAGGCATGATAGTGTGAATTGTAATACACTGTATCTAATTGGACAAGTACAAAAAATACAGTGCTATTGTGTACAATGATATGCTCTATTTGACCAAACAGAGGAAGCTCGCTAACATCATGGCAGACCAGAAGTGACAACTGATAATGTGTTCCATGTACTTTAACCCAGTTGGCATCAAATAATTCAGTAGAAAGATCCTCTACTTGGATTTGCTCTTGCACAATCTGTCCAATATTTTCATCTAAATCTGACAAAAGTAGTGAACTACCTGGCCCAACCTCCAGATATTCCAAAGGATGGTTTGACTGAAGATGGAACGTTAGTGCTGTCTGATGTTTTTTGGCAAGTGATTTACAAATGTTTTTGTAATTACGCACAGATTCTGCAACACGGCCAAAATAGTGATGTTTCGCTTCGTACCTCATACACCATACATGTATGAGTGGCCCAACTTCTCTCAAACACGTTGGATAATGCACCATAAAGTGGTGTTTTGGCAACAACCTTCTGTCAGGAAAGGTTTTCTGGAAATGTGTGTGATGTTCTTCAGTAAGAATAGACAATTGGGCTATCAAGCCTGCTGTCAATTGAGGAGCAAAAATAATGTCCATACAATCTAGTAATCTAAGTAGCAATTCCCAGTAGACATTTCCTTCTTCAATGTCTTGAGCAATTATGAATGGCAGATTTCGAATCAAGCACCATGCTTGCATAGCCTTCTGTCCAACATCATTCCTAGCTGACCTAAGTTTAATAAAGGATGGTTTGTTCTTGTTATCTGTACGGTTTAAGCAATGGCTGGCGACTCTCTGATTCAGTTCATCTTGGGACAAGAGGGGCGGTTGCCTTTCATATATGAAATACTCTAGAACAAGTTTCAGCTCATACTGAACTATGCCTTCCAAAAGATCATGCATTATATCTAGTGAAAAGTTTGCCAAGACATGAAAGTAAATACAATCATTCAATACAGTCTTTTGTTTCACTCCAAACACATGTGACTGGGTAGTTTGAGCTTCAGCTTCTTCTAAATGTTGCTCATAAGTCTGCCTGGTGCGCATATCCATTGAAACCTCTTTGAATTTGTTCTGTGCCTCTTCCTTACTTGTAACACATAATCGACAGTAATAATGAGCAGAAAAGCTCTCTACAAATCCCAGTAGGGAATTAGCACCAAGATTATCAGCACTTATTTGAGTAATGGTCCCCTTCTTCACAATTCCATTAGGGAGAGCAATGCCAACTGTTGACAGGATATTAATGTCTTTTACAATGTGCTTGAGAATAGCATTAAATCCATATTTCTTGGCATCTTCAGCATACCATAGAGCTATAAGATTGATATTGGAAAGATTGGAATTATACTTTGGTGGCAGATTTTTCAAAATGAAATATAAAGCACCTATCTTGTGAATTTTTGTTTTTGAACCAATGGGGTTCACAGTCTCGAAATCATCATAAAAACAGTGAATTTGGAGGGCATTCTCATCTTCATGGAAAAGAGGGGTTTTCTCAAATTGTGAACCATCACAATAATCTCTCATTACACCATCTGTGCTCTTATGGTCATGAGTAGCAAAATGCAATATATCTTTATTGCTTAAAAGCTGCTTCAAAGAATCTAAAATGGGAACGTAAACAAATGTATCTTCAATAGCAATCTGTTCATACTGCTTAGTTCTTTTATTGAGACGACTATCATATCGGATGCCTAACTTGATTTCTTGTGGTTCAACAAGTCCAATTGATTCACAATACTTTGTCCGCTTATATTCTGAATTCAAATTTTCAAAGGGCTTTTCAAGCATAGCAAAATGTGTTTGAATCTCCTTATAAGCCTCGGATTCTATAGGCAGCTTATGTTTTAAGAAAGCAGCTGTAACGGCTGCCGATGCACTTTTTACTACATCACCTACAATCGCACTGGTTGTTTCTACTACATCATTTACAACTTTTCCAGAGTTTGCACTATTTGCTGAAAATTTTGAAATTACATTTACACACTGCCTGTTCAAGGTATCTACAGATAAAATGTCATCTTCATATACATCCTGATCTTCAACAATCTCATCATTATTAATATTGTATTCTTGAAGACTTTCAAGACTTTCTTCAGGAAAGTCACTCACTTTATCATTTTCATTAGACTGCTCTTTATTATCTGGAAAATCGGTTTTAAGGTGAGTCTGCAAATGTCCCCGAAATCCTCGAAAAGTATGAAATGTTCTCGCACAAGCTCCCTGCCCACAGGTCAATACTTCTTTACCATCTTCAATAACTCCATGTTTCAATCTCAAATGTTGAACCAATTTGGGTATTGCAAACTGTTTGTGGCATTTGAAGCAAATCATGGTGCTAACAATTTCGATCTAATTTCACGTACTCTTGGTGTTTCCCGGGACACTCCGATATCGATTTCAAAAATGGCAGTCTGGACAAAAGTCCAGAACTGCCGCAGAGACAAGCAGTACTGCAGGCCAAAGACAAAGTGGGTCTTGAAGAGTAAATCTACTGCTGCTTCGACCGTGCGTGCCGAACATGGAATGGCCTTGTGATCCACAATGATCATGTAGTTGGTGATTCGGGCCTTGGAATTGCCAATTGCCAGAAGGAACGGTTGACTCTTGGTCTCTTTTGTGTTGTCGAGGAATGCTTGAATACTCCCTCCTGTCTGTGTTGAAAACAAATTATTTGTATAGAATGTAACTAGCACTCAACGCATTTCAATACTCAACGCATTTCAATGAACAACATATTTCGATCAACATTTTTAAAAGACAGCCTTACATGTAGTACTGGGGGAAATTGTGTTTTTACAAAAGGGTTATTGGACAATAATGTAGGACATAAAACCAAATCAAATTTACATCAAAGAAAAGAATTGGAATTGGTCCATCAAATGATATAACATCAAAATATCAGATGATATTTTTTGTAATGAAATACAATTTTTCTTACCCTGTAGAGGGGTAAAAATGCAAGTACTTTCAAAGCTTGTTTTATGTATATGATTAAAAAGGGTCTTTCTAATGTGGTCAAGACATTTCAACTTCCACAAAAGGAGTACGAAAAATAAAGATACTGCAATTTCTGCACTATTATTAACTTGCAGCAAATTTGTGGCATGAAATATTCCTTTTCATTTATTGATTCTCCATGTAGGGCTGTGAAAATCAAAGGCAACATGCCTGATATATCACACAAGTTGTTACTATGTTTTCATACACAACATGTTCCTAGTATTTGTTTGCAAATCTTGATGTCTACTGTTCTAGTTTATTTTACTCCGACCAATTTCAAGGCGGGTGAAGTTTTTGAATAGGCCTAAATTTCTCGAGCACCTTCTCTGTCCAAATCAGTCTAAGCCTCTTCATGTAAGAGATCATAAACCAATATAATTGTTCTCTTTGAACACACATCACGATGCTTTCTGAAACTTTTTTTTTAATGCAGCAAGAATGTGTTTTATGTGACAGGGTATTACCGGTACTTAATATTTACAGTTCTCTTTCGTAATGAAAAGCTAAATACCTTCTGAAATTGAATAACCCTCGAGAGAGCTGAAGAAATGGACACTTTTGCTGACGCAGCTTTGGACTTCCCTTGGCTTGCAGGAGGCAATAGGCACAAGAGGAGGAGGATAGCAGATGTGCTGGAATTCCATCCTGTGCATTACAAAATGAAAATGGTTATTATTAAACAGGCTTACATGTTGATCAAGGTGAAAAATAGAAGTTAAATGTACCAAAATAATTACAAACTGACCTGCTAAAATTTGAATCAAAATAGCCTGTAACAAGAAACTATTATAAGAAATAAGTATATAGTCGAGGACTTATCAATATTATAGCCAAAGCATGCAAGTGGCTGTTAATGCAGTTTAGGGGTACTAAACCAAAAATCCAATTGATGCCAGCTTGGCACCCTTGGAGAAATTTTACTGACACTTATAGCAACGCCTTCTTCTTCTTTCTTATGAGAATTTATACAAAGGGGGATGGGAAAAAAGAAATCAATAGGAAAATAATAAACGGGATATTTATGCATGGGAGAAGGCAACATTCATGGCAAAGCACCTAACCTAGATTGTTCTCTGTTGACACATATATAACAAACTCTTTAGTAGCATAAGTTCATGTTTTTTTTTTTACAATTTTTTTCTTGTTCTACTGAATTTAACATGCTTCTACCCAATTTGACATCCTTTTCATGATTAAATCACAAAAATTGCATCAATACTGGAATCAAATGTTGCAATTAACAATTTATCAAATATGTCCCCTATGGGCCACCATATTTTTCAAAGTTAACTAATGAAGAAAAACAAAAATATCATGATTTTCTGAATTCTAAAGCATTTATCTTCAAATAAAGACAGAGTAAACACAAGCAAGCTGCTAATATGTAAATGCAGGGTCCTGTGGGGTCGATTCAAGTTCATATTATAAGATAATAAGCCATGCATATCATATCTGAGGAAGAAAAATAACAAAGTGAACATATAAACATGATGCTTTGTTTCAAAACAGAAGCTCATTCTATTTCAAAAGTAATGATTGGCAATGTGATAATCCTTATAAAGATTCCACAATGGGCCATGCAACAAACTTTTTTCTTCATAATTATATAAATTTCTTCTTCATAATTATATAATTAATATAATAAAAGAATTATGGAGAGCATGTTCCAACTACAAATAACTTTGCCAAGTGGGCATGTAATGTAATTTTTTGTAATTCTCATTGCAACAAGAGTCCACATTATTTGAGATGCCCAATAACCCTACTGTATCCCAGCCTTCCAGATAAATATAATTTGTTGGAGGAGTTGACAAAAAAAAGGGGGGGGGGGGAATTGTTTTAATTGGGATGGGTCATTTTTTGTGATTTCAGCATACTTGTCCCTTAATATACATTTTTAATGAGACTGCAAGCTCTTTGGTGGAATTCTCAATGGTGGTTTAAGACCAAGGTCTAAACTTGGTTCAAAACCATGGATTGGATTAGATTTGCATGTATTCTAAAACTTGTCCAATGAACATGCTTGTGTGAAGCACATATATGCTCAAATTTAAACTAACCTATCAATGGTTTATCCATGGTCTCAAATAAACCACCATCAAGAATTCCACCCTTTATGACATCGGAGGGTGCATTCAAGGGAATGTGCAAAAATACCTTCTTTATTTTGATCAGAACTGTCATAAGATGACAGAAGCTCCATCACTGTCAAGTTTCCTTTCTGCTTCAGAAGTTGTCTTGCAAGTGTAACAACCTTGGGCTTCAACTCGGGCCATTTGGTCAGGAAACGCGAGTGATTTTCAGGAAAAAGTTTCCGAAAATCTACCTCAATCTGCAAGAATACATGTAAAAGGAAAACGGGGAAAAGAGAGAAAAAATAAACTATGCATAATTTTACAGTACAGATACCCCAGTTAGACTAAATCAGCAATATAATAAGGTACCGTCAAAGCTCAGACCCCCATATATACACACCCCAGATCCAGGAAAAGGGGATTCTTCAAATATTTATCTGAATAGCAACCACTAAGAAGTACTTTTGAAGGTCTCTCTACACAAAATCCATACATGAATGAAACTTGCTGGACCTTTGAAATAGATTAGATTTGCTAGATATCACTCATGTTGATGCTCACTGTCCAAAGGTACATGACAACCAGTAATGGTGATTGTTCACCAACAGACAGTCACATGCGGTAAATACAGATACAGATTGAAGGATAAAACTGGCAGAATCTTCGGACTGATATTTTCAAAATCTCAAACATATATAATAAAACAGAGAAATATGAATTTGATGCCTCAGTGCCAAGTAATAATTCTGATGCTTTAATTCCCATACACATAATTTTGTTGCCTTAGGCCTGAGAGGCTAAATCAAGAATTAGGAGTAAATTTTTTTGTAACACTTACCAAACCTGGAACAGTTTCAAAAGGAAACTGTTCCAAAATATCCGATGCGGAGCGTCCGTCCCTGACCATATGCTGTCTAACAGGAAAAGTGGATTTCATCTTTTCAACAACCAGGGTAGAATCACGTTCTAATGTTGGACAGTGTCGTAACCAGTTGAGGTCTTCATCATAGGTGCAGCCTGGAGCAGATTCTTGGTCACCTTCTCGGACCTTCCCAGGACCACCATCTCTGCTTGATGGCTTGGGTAATGGGTTGGATGTCTTCTCCTCTGTTGTGCGGTTAACATTTTTTATTCTAGCAGCCAGGAATCCCGTGTTACTTCTTGCATCAAAATAAGCTTCCTAAAGTGAAAGAACGAGATGAATCTTTGACCGCGTGGTTGAAAATGTATGTATAAGCTTTTTGTTGATAATATTAACCTTGAAATGATGCACAAAATGATGTGATGAGAAATTGTAGTTTTCAAAGAAATTTTAGCAAAGTAGCATTAGTGTCATATAATGCAAGCATCTTGACTTTGATACAAGGAAGCAGCCATCACTCTGCCCCACTTCAAGAAAAAAAGAGTTTTGAGTGGTTGTGAAGGAGAGTAGAATGGTATCATACATTTCTTATTGGATATTGTGCCAAAGATGGTGGAGTGTGACCTACACAAGATAAAATTTAAAAAAAAAAATTCTTCTCAGAATATAATTTAGAGAGATTTTGAGGGTATTTTTATCTTATCAGAGTATCATAAGTTTTCTTTTGATTAATGGAATGCAATACCTTCTTATCAGAGAGGACCATGCAGGGCCCATATTCAATTAAATACTTCAGTCAGAAAAATAAATATTTTTTCTTAGATTTTTGCTCGGATAAAATACTTTGCAGATTTTGGTATTCAATTCATAAATTTGGCTAAGTATTTTACTTTAAATTTAAGACACCTCTAGAGGAGACTTAAGCCAAAGCATTTACAAATTTAACTGGTAGATGAAGGCTTACATGTATGTGCGCAGTCACTCTCAGCTGCGGAGAATTATGAAGTAGCGCATTTTTGGTGCAATGTGTTGATTGCGCATCATTTGGTCACAAAATCGTGATGTCACAATGCCTCTCAATAAGTATTTTACTTAAATTTTGACTTACTAAAGTAAAATGCTAAGAACTGAATTGAATACAAAATAAGTAAATACCTTAGCCAAAATACTTAGTAAAAAAACTTACTTAGTCAAAGTATTTATTTGAATATGGGCCCAGATTATAATACTTACATGACCTGTGCTAGTAAACGGATCCTTGAGTCTTGGAAACAGATTCACTATCCCCATGGCATATTTGGTTTTCATAGCTGCTTTTGGATGTTTGCTGTGAAATAAGAAAGCACATCTCCTGTATGAGAATTACAGTCATATGGACTCATGACTGGCTCTATTAAAACAGAACTTAGTATGTTGATAACAAGTAGCATACCCCTAGTGGTCTCGTCTGCATCATATAATTTGCTATAGTTTAGTATTTTTTTATTACTTTAAAATCTCAAAATATCACATGGTTAGTTCATAATACATTTATAAAGTGAGGCCTCATGACGATGAGGCCGCTAACATCTACGGCATTAATCTATTTTAACGTAATGACCCAAAAATGTCACTCACAAGACTGGTAATACCTGATAACCATCATGTGCAAATCACATTTAAAACTAGATGAATCTTCGACCACGCACGGTCAAAATTTAAGCCTCTGCCATCATGCGATCAGAAAGATATTATTGCTTGTTCCATGCCATTGGAAATCCGAAACATTTTGGGTGATTTTACAAATTTTGGGCACTATGAACTTTGACCCCGTGAACCCAAAATCTTCTTCCTCCCATGCTAATACATAATTGAGCTAGGTTTGAAAGAAATTAGTTCAATTTGTCTGAAGTTATAGCAATATCGAGCTTTTTTCGGGTAATTTTTTACAATTTTTGTTTGGCCCTGTGACCTTTGCCCTTTGACCCCCTAAACCCCAAATCTAATCAGTTCATCCTCACATGTATATAAATACTTGTGTCAAGTTTGGTAAAAATCCGTCCAGTAGTTCTGAAGTTATCGTGGTAACAAGTTTCCGACGGACGGACGCACGGACGGACACACGGACGCACGGACGGAAGGACGGACGGACAACCCCGAAAACATAATGCCTCCGGCACCACCTGACGGTGGCGGAGGCATAAAAAATGAATATTTTGAAAAATGATTTTGAAGAGACAACAAATTCCTTTAAAGTTGACCATGTTACCTCAGTTTCTTTTCACATAATTGGTAGTACCTGATAATTATTATGTGCATTTACACAATCATAAAAGAAAATTTGCTGGCACTTACCCATAGTGTTCTTGCATGTGGGCTACCAAAAGGTTAATCATCTGCCGTCTAGTTTTATCTTGAAGTGCTCCAGTCAATTCATACTCTCGGAGAATGGCATCACCTCTGTGCCGCAAAATTTCTTGTACAAACTGCAAACAGGTAAATCATCCCATTAAGTCATAAATAAACATATTGAGTTTATAATGCACTTTCAGGCACTTTAATTCATACTGACCTTTCTAAGGGCACGAAATTTTATGAATGACTATGAATTTATATAGGTACATTATGATATTAAAATTGATATATGGCCAATAATCATAAATTCTAAATAATAATATATTTATTTATAGAGCTTGAAATAGTTTAAATATTGTTAAATACACACTCCCACAAACACCCCAAACACACATATGCACACACGCACATACACACACACGAGGGGACACATGAGGCTACAGGTAAATTTGTGTTTATTGTAATGCGAGTTCCTTCTACTTAATATAGACATGCAAGCCCAATGCCATGGGGAGACCGTCTAAAGTGCCCTGAACAGTGTTCATTACTTTCATATCCACAAACAATACAGCAGGAAACTATTCTATGTTTGGGATCATCATGAACACTACAATAAAGGTTATGTAACAATCGATGCATCTCATCTTCAACTTTTTAATTTTGATATTAGTCCTTTTCCTTGATACCCTCAGAGGTCTATATGGAACCAGATCATGAGATGTATTATTCGATGATTATTTACCTCATTTCTCTTTCCCATTTCTAAAACATTTCATAAAATTTGGCAATTCAATTTAAACCTCTAGACATAATATCATTTGTTTGAAATCATACCACCCATTGGAAGAAAATGAAACTGTAAAAGTTTATGGAAAACTTATGACAGATGACGAAGCAAAAAAGATGGCCAATATCTTACAGGAGTCGTCAGCTTAGATGTACCAAAAAAGAAATCAAATTAGTTGCCTAATGTTAACCTATACCATTACAAAAACCTTACTACAGGAAATATTAATTTACAATGTTAGTTCTAACTACACTAGATGTATTTTTTTTCTCCCAATATCATTTTCAATTTTAAATAATATGAAATCCGTATAGGTGATGAGTCCCTTATATTATGTTGATTATGATAGCTGAGATTGAAATGAAGCAAACAATTTTTTCTTAACCTTACCTCACAAGAGTTGTCAGTGATTGCACCTGATTCACTGAGGGCATTTAATCGTGGCCTCTTTCTACTGGAGCAAAAACTTGAATCAGATTCTGAGCTACTCAGGGAAGAGGAGCTGGTATCCACCTTGATAGTGTCTGCACTTGTGATGCTATGTACATCTGAACCTTTAATAAAGAAAAAAAGATATAAAGCCATGAGCACTGTTAAAAAACAATGAATACTGGCATCTTAAACTTTGGTAGAATTGAATACAGTTGGGCCTCCTTTATCCCCACACTTGGGATCAGCACTAACATGCATAAGGGAATCCTATATTCAAAACATGCAGTTGCCGAGTTTGAATGAATGCATGTTTCTGATCATGAAAAATTGAATTGAATGTGTAATAACAATGTTGGGAATAATGTATATAAGTAACCCAAATAGTTTGCGATATTACGAGTATGCTTGAAATCTTTGTTGGTTCCGCTAATTATTTGAGTAAAATAGGCAAATTCTCAAGTGATCTGGATAAAGGAGACTGGATAAGGGAGGTCCAACTGCATATAAATTTCTATTAGTCTAAAACCATCAGAAACCAGCTAAGTTATATTGGTCTGACACATTTGTTAATTTTATAATACTTGAGCATTTTTTAATGGACAATTTGTTAATTGATGCATTCATTCATGTCTAAGTGAATTATAATACTAGCATTTAGAAATGTTCAATTACTTTTCCATTGGACTGTTCCCAATGAAACCAATAGGTCTGTCCAATATAATCCAACAGAATTCTTTCATGATGGTTTTCTATAAGTATAAGACTAACAGAAAGAAATTGTTGGATTCCTATTATTGGATCAGCAAAAATTTTCTGATGGATTTCTAATGGACCAACAGAAGTATGTGTTGGATTTCTATTGGAGCAATATAACCTTTCTGCTGGTTTCTATGGGTCCTTTATTTCCCTTTCCCTATTGAAACCATTAAACTTATTGGTTTCTATGGGTCCAATAGCCCTCACCTCGTGCTATCACACAAAGCAAACAGAATCAAAATCAGATGAGAAATGGCATAGGAGTGGCCTTTTGTAGGATTTTGAAGCAAAAGGTCAAAGATCATACACAGACACGCACAGAAACACACAAGTATGGCGCCCGTTTCACAGTCCCCTCCTCAAATTTGTTCGGTGGGGTCACAATTTAAATTAAAGACATTTTTTTTTTAAATGCAAGTTTGCATTGTTAAAAAATTCAATTTGTAAGAATCTGTAATTTTTATAATCTTTAGACTTCGAATTTAGATCATTGACCGCCCACAAATCACGGCTCTTGTGGCAAGGTTACGTCATCAAAAAAGGGTAGGTTTTTTTTTCCTCCACCAAGTTTTGAGACCTGTGCCTGTAATTTGAACTGCACATTCATTTATTGCTTATGAAAAGCAAAATGTTAATTCCCTAGACTCTATACAGCATACAAGCCTACACTGTACCTGCTACCAGACGAACGCTGACTCATTTTAACATGCATGCACATACAATGATCAGTGGCGGATCCAGCAGGGGGCGCACCCGGCATGTGCCCCCTCTATATTTTGAGAATTACCTCGTGAACATACACATTACTAAGGTTAAATTGTGATCTGCGCCCCCTCTTTATTTTTAATATGCTCTTTGCACCCCTCTAACTCTATTTTAAAATCCTGAATCCGCTACTGATGATATCACATTTAGCAGGGATTTGCAATTTTGTATTATAATGCACTTTATCCAAAACTTACCAGACCATTCTTCATCTTCTTTTAGCACCATGAGGCTGACTGTGGGATTGCTGGTCACCACATCTCCTAGTACGTCATCGTCTATACCAAACCCTTCTTGTTCATCCACAAGTACGAGATCTTCCCCATCCCTTATGTGGAATTTTCTTCTGACTGTAGGAGAGATTAAATAAATGAGAATAAATATCACAGTGCACTTTTCAGTTTCTTACAGATTGATGGCTCAGTCATAATAAACGAATGCTGCAAAAACTGCTGCTACAAGCCCAACTGTGCTATATAGTATACAAATAACGCACGTCCCAGAGTGCAATAGCGGTGAATGCAGTACGCGCGAGGTTTCTTTATATTGGTGCCGCTCTGTGCAACAAGCCGCTTGCGGCGAGTTGACAGTGCGAACCATCTGAAGAAACCGAGCGAACACTGCATTTACGTTTCGCACAACAGGGTCAAGTGCGTTATTTGTTTTATAAAATAGCGACACAAACAGCAACAAACAAAAGTTTAGATCTTAAGTATACGAGAGTTCGATCTAGATCTAGAGTTATGTTGGTTCTAGAATTAGAAATAAAATGAGGGTCTAAGACCTTGCAGGCTTACCAAAAAGTCTACAGGATTCATTGTTTGATTAAAAATAAAATGCATAGGGTGTCTAGAGACGAGTCTACATCAGACAGCTGAAATTCCTGGCTTCATTATAAAATCCAAAAGTCAAAACGGGTCTAAATCCAAGGCAAAAGTAAAACAAAAATTTGCTTTCTAATAATACCCCGCTCTAGCTAGAGCTAACGCGTACGCTGCGCTGGGGATCATGGTGGATCTTGGAGCGTACAATATTAGCTACGCGTAGCCTATAGCCTACAATGCACTCGAGGGAGCGTACTAGTACTACGCGTACGCGCGCGCACTGGATCCCCATGGTCACGCGTACGCACCGTGCAATATAACTTTTTACTGCGCTTTTTCTGCACTCATTTCTGCAAAATCGTGCTTGCATCAAAAATTTGTCAATGCCATGTGACGCGTATTGACCAATCACGATGCTTAAAATACTAGGCTAGATCTAGAGCCATTTTATAATACACCCTAAAACTGTTAAATGGGACATCAAGCTCAACCGGGGGTGGAGTTTGGACTGTTGTGTGCGCTACAAATAGTCTAGATCTAGATCTAGATCTAGAGATTGAATTTCCATGTTTATTATTTTTGCATTTTTTTTATTACATGAATGGGGTAGATCTAGTCTAGATCTAACGTTAGATCTAGATCTAGATATCTAGGCCTAATGTCAATGCAGATCTAACGTTAGAACTCTAGATCTAACTGTTAGGCCTAGAAATCTAGAGTCTAGATCTAGTCTAGACTTCTAGATCTAGATCTAGATCTAGCCTAGACCTGATATTTTTGCAAAAACCCAGGATTAGGCCCTAGACTAGGTCTAGATCTACTGATTTTTCCTTTACATTTTGAAACAAATATGTATTAAATAACAATATATAGACCTAGATCTATCATGAATGTTTGCCCTTTGGAGTATTTATCAATGATAATTTTTCAGAAATCCATAAAATATTAAATGGCATCATGCTGACCGGATACCCAACCCGGCCGGACAGCCAAGGCATAGTAGGCCTAGACCTCTAGGCCTGGGCTACCCAACGACAGGCGCGGCTAGCGCCAGCTGACGAACACGTAATACTATAGGCTAGATCTATAAAAGTTTATAACAAACAAGAACCATGTACACTTACTGAGTTCAAAGAATCCTACTGTGTCTTCTGGATCTATAGGCAGGTATTTTCTAATACTTCGATCCGCTGAACAGACCCTGACGCTTAATGGCATGGTTGCATGCACTTCGATCACTTCACATCTAGAATCTAGGCCTAATTTGAAGAATTACTACTCCAGAATCAAGACTTCAAGTCAGTGCCAGTGAAATTCTCTAGCCACATGCTCTCGTCTAGCTGTGCGCGCGCAGCTGCAGAGGCGCATATCGGATCATATGACAACTTTCGTCCAATGATTTTCGTCGAATTCTCTAGCTTATGCGCATGTGCGATTTTATAACACCAAATATGACACCATCAGCCTGTAATTGAATATTTTCACACCGTTGGTGTTATTTTTCGCCAATCGGACATGAAATGAACACCAAGGGTGTTGATATTTTTCTATTCCATGCTGGTGTTGAATATTTAACACCCTGGTTTTTGCAGTGTAGACTTATAGGGCGCACACACCTTCCAGGGACGCTCATGGCTCTAGCTCAGTAACAGTTCTCAAGTAATACAAGTTAAGTAAACAATTTTACAATATTATTTATATCACCCATTTGTATCCTGTCTGTTATGCTTTTATTGATACCAGCTATAATTATCAAGGTAGACTTCCCCTTGTAAACAAACTGATGATGACACAGGGGGTTGGGCTTAAACCAGCCTTGACTAGTCTTAAAGCTACACTACTTGCAGCTACTTGCTCCCTCTATATAGATAGCAATGCCTAAGCGATGCATGTTGTTCCCCCATGATCCTCTTTTTCTTATGTTAATTGAGAGCTGAGTTGATGAGATATAGCCACCTGTCAGTGACCATGCTGGGTGGTCTAATCCCTCCTGGCCAAACTAGTGCAGACGGGCTTTAAAGGTCCCATTTGCAGGCCCAAAAAATGAAAAAGTTAAATTCCAACTGCATTTGAAAGATAATACTAATTTAAAACTTCCCTAAAAAAAGTGGGGCTTAAAATGTCTTCAAGTGGGAAAATAACGACTATTAGTTGTCAAATAGACTTTAGGGCTATAGAGCCCAAAAGAAATAGTCTTGATTTTCAGACAATTGTACCGAATGGTCATACGTTTTATGCTGCGCAAAGATTCAACCAGTTTAATTTTGGCCATCACAAGAAGTGGGTTATTGATGTAGACAAATGCTCATTTACCCTTTACAACTCTTTTAATGTATGTTATAACCAAAGAAGAAAAAAGCCAGTTAGTCACTCAATAGTGTCTGACAGTGAAGTCTAGCAAGTAAACGGGTTTCCTTGCATAATTTGAATATGAGGGCACTGCTAATGTTTAAATTTCACAGATAGGACAAACATGACATATTCATAATTCCTGCAAAGTTCTACAGAATTTGAGGTTGGCTGCAAAAGGGACTTAGTACCTTTTATAACAGAAGTTTGCAGAATAGTAGTTAAATCCAATGAGCAGGAAAATAATAATACTGTAAGCATTTTGGTCAGTAAATGGTAAAGCGCTGTATAATAAACCAGGATTATTGTTATTATTTATCATTACATGTATACAGATACAGATAGAGCAATATTTATTCAAGACATTCTATTTCCTGGTTTGCTTGCAGGGTTTGCAACACATGAGCCTGAATAATGTAGGATCATGTGCAGACTTGTCGTCGTCAAGTGGTTGAAGCACTTAACTTGAAATGCTGAAGTTCTGGTTCAATCCCCAATACAGCAATCATGTCCTTTGGCAAGGCATTAGTCTATATTTGACATTCTTTATCCAGGAAATAAATGGGGACCTGGTAGGATGATGAATGCCTTTGTGTTAGTAGTTGCCATATGCCCTCACGGTGACCATATGGTCAGAATACTCCCCAGGGAGTGGAGATGGTGCACATTGTGCGTGAATGAATCCAATGACCAGGGTAATAATATCTGTAAAGCGCTTCAAGAGGATATTTTGTATAAGCGCTGAATAAATCCAGATGATATTATCTACATTGCATGTAGAAACCAGAAATGACTTGAAAACCTCAGTAACATTTTGATTTTCTTTCTCAATGTAAACAAAAATTGGTACTCTAAAATGTATTTACAATGGTTATTGATATGCAAAGTACAGGTTTGTGAACTAAATCAAACACACTTTCCCAGGGTTTTCCATGTTTGGTAGCAATGATAACATCTGATTTATATTTCACTTTGATATAAAAGAGAGAAGAGATTAGGTTCCTCTTCCTTACATTCACACATGCATACCTGTAGAATCCGGAACACAAAAGAAAGAAATGAATGCAAAAACAATTATCATGGTGATCTTTGACTTTGTGCTTAGAAACATGTTGATGTAGAAATAGATTCCCCCTTCAAATTTGTAACAATTTAATCTCTCTCTCTCTCTCTCTCTCTTTTTCTCTGTCCCTCTCTGTCTCTATCTTTATCTGTCTCTACCTTTCTCTGTCTCTATCTTTCTCTGTCTGTATTTTTCTCTGTCTCTATCTTTCTCTCTCTCTGTCTCTACCTTTCTCTGTCTGTCTCTCTCTCTCTCTCTCTATTCTGGACCTCATGGAAGACCAGTAGTGTCGTGCCTGGCTCGGCTGAATATGGGTTATCCAACGTGTTTATGTACTTACAGTATGAAAACTTGCATGTATTGTGTATGTGTATGTTTGTTTTTAATCAAACGGAAGATAAATACTACTACTACTACTCTCTATATCTCTCTGCGTCTCTATCTATCTCTTGCTCTCTCTTTCTCTCTCCCTTTCTTATTTTGGAAGTACACAGGCATTGTAAACTAGTGCACATAATGCAGTTATGGTGATCTTTGAGCTTAGAAACACTTTGATGTACATGTACAAATAGATTTATTCTTGAAATGCATGGAATAGCCAACAGAGCATGCGATGTAGATCTGAGAAGAGTAAAAGCTCTGAAACGGAATGATCAGCATTTGAAAGAAAACACTGCTTCTTTTTATGCACATTCCTGCTTCGCTTTGAATGGAACCCAACAGAGAAGTTTGTGAGGTGACTAGCCCTTTTCCCCTTCAAATCTTTAACAATAGGCTATTTTCGTAATGTAACCAAATTTAATGCATATGTCTTTGTGAAGTGCCTCAATACAAATTATTTCATTCACCTGATAGGAATAATAGTATTTCAATAGTCAGAATGCAACTGCATATGTTAAGTGTTGCTAGGTAGGTCAAGCCATAATGTTTGTCCAACCTGGCAACAACTTACATGTATGTAGGTAGTTCGGATTCTGTCTATTGAAATACTATTATTCCTATCAGGTGAATGAAATAATTTGTATTGGAGCACTTCACAAAGACTTATGCATTTAATTTGGTTACATTACAAAAATGGCCTATTGAATCTTGCTCTCTTTATCTCTCTCTGTCTCTCTGTCTGTCTGTCTCTCTATGTCTCTCTCTCTCTCTCTCTCTTACTCTCTCTCTGTCTCTCTCTCTCTCTCTCCCTCTTTCTCTGTCTCTCCCATTCTCTCTCTCCCTGTCTCTTTTTCTGGAAGTGTGTGGGGTGACTAGCCCTTTCCCCTTCAAATTGGTATAAATTGAATCTTTCTCTCTCTTTCTATTTCTCTCTAACTCTCTTTCTACCTCTCTCTATCTCTCTCTCTCTCTCTCTCTACCCCTGTCTCTGTTTCTCCCCCTCTCTCTCCCTTTCTCTTTTTCTGGAAGTTCACAGCCATTGTAAACTAGTGCACATTTAAAGTAGTGTTTAATTGCAATTTGGAATGAAAGAGAAAAGAAATATACATTTATGTACAATGCTTGATACCACATTGAATAGATTTTCAGAGAATATTCAATCTTAAAATAGAAATTATAGACATAAGACATTTTGATAAAAATCTACACAAAATTAGTTACCGATATATACATAAAACCTTGTGCAGATTTAATATTTTTCAACCCCAAAATATGCCTCTTGCCATTGTTTAACATGCCAAGTTTTGCTTCTCAGGACATTGTTTCATAAAACTTGTTATCAATAACCGGTTATGATAACTGATATAAGCTACTGAAATCGGGGCATTTGATTGGCTGAGATCAAACTTATCGTATAAATTTAACATTTGTTAGTGATAACATGCAACAGAGCCCTGGTTCTTGAGTCGGTTCACAAATGCCTCGTCCGAATGGTGCGGTTTATTAAAGCAGTTCACACAAGTTCATGTAATGTGATTAACCTGGTTCAGACTGGTCGATCGTTAACACGTTTTTCACATGCAGTCTGAACTCAAGTTTAATATCTTAGGGCTTATTATTCACTACATCGAACTGATCATCGAACATCTGTTCAAGTGTTTTTGGGCATGTAAATAACATGTGGCAATGGCGTATGGTGTCAGACAGTTGAGAGCCGTGCACAGGCGTCAACACTCCTTGATTTGTGGTGAAGGGGCAGAGAGGGCTGGGAGGGGTGCTGAAATTTAAAGGAGCATTCCACCCTGATATTTATTTAATTACAATAAAAGCATACAAAATAGAAAACACAAAGTATTGAAAGTATGAACTACATTTGTGTATATCTGATTAGAAATGGGAAAGTAATGAATTTTTGAAGTTGCCATCGTGAAACATTAGGGACTTTTCGAATTGCACGTCGACATAGTGGACTGCTACGTGTGAAGTCCTTTCAGTGCCTTAAAAGGACGTCACACGTAGCACTGTGTCGACGTGCAAATCAAAAAGTCCCTACTAATTAGCAACACAGACGGATGATGCAAGTTTTTTAGTACAGCTAGGGCAAATGGTAGGAGAGCTACAAGTAGCAAGACATGTCACAGAGTTGTCAATTTGTGTTTGATTGATTGTATCTTCATAACTTTCTTATTTTCAATCCCTTTTTTGCTCAAGCGTAAGGTCACTGACCTGTTTGTCTCATTTTCATTTTGTCTATATGTCGACTACCCCTTTAAGAATGAAGATAGAATGCAAAGTGAGATTCACAACTCGTCAGTTTTGTTTCCTCCCCTAATTAAGCCTCCAAAATGAGCTATAATTAACCGAGAAGCGATTGGATATAAAAGGTTTAACTTTTTAGTGACAACTGCATGTAACTGAAAGAAAATTAATTGGCTTTCTCTTAACTACAAGCTGTAAAAATGAACAAAACACTTCAAGTTTGGGGGGTGGGGACTGCCTTCTGGAACAACCCCAATTATGTCTATAATTTCTATCCAGAAGCAGTTCACATGTACTCTTCAATGGCAGGCACTAAGCCTGATGAACCATATGCTGTTTTGTGTTATAATAATGACAAGTGTACCATATGGTAATTGAAGCCCCTTTCACATTGAATAACATTTTTAACACATTGACTACCGAGTTATGTAATTCCCATAGGCTTAATACAGGGCCCACACGGTTCCAGTAGGCAAAGGGTTACACTGATTAGATGTGTGAAAGGGTTTTGAGAGGAAAGTGAGAAGGGATAGTCTATAGA